GAAAGAAATCTCTAGGCCCAGATCACTTACATGAGAGAATTTTCCTAGTATTTAAAGAATTAGCACCAATTTTATGTGATCTTTTTCTGAAAGGAGAAAAAGGAACATTCTGTAACTCATTCTAGATTCACAAACCACTACAAAGAGATCCAAGTGGACAGTAAATATGAAAAAGTGTTCAGCTTTACTGGCAATCAAGGAAATGCAAATTAAAACCATAACTCAATACCACCACCCCACCTCTAGAATGGCTAAAATTATGAAATCTAATAAGACCAAGTATTGGTGAAGCTGTGCAGCAGCCAGAATGGTCAGACACCAATCATGGGAGTTGACATTGAAATACATTTGGTAGCTTCTATTAAAACTGAGCCCAGTGACCCAGCGATTCCACCATTAGGAACTCAGAGCACATCCCAACAGAAAGTGCATCTGTGTGTGCCAAAAGAAGAACACATTCGCCCAAACCACAAGCAATCCAGATGTTCATCAACAGCTGACTGTGTAAATATGCATAGACTTTTATATAAGTGAATCTCATATGGCATTAAAAATGAATGCTAGTGGGCCTCCCCGGTGGCGCAGCGGTTGAGTGCTGGGCTGCAAAGCTGCCCGCAGCCTCTGCGGCGCCGGTTCGATCCCCGGCTGCTGGGCAAGGGTCCCACATGTTGCGCAGACCTCTGCTGCCGCACCCGCTGCTTCCCTCAGCAGTGTCTTTCATCGGTCTACCTGTTCTGTACCCCGCTCTGGCTCTGGTGGATTCTCTCACCCTCCTGTGCTTCTGATTGTACCCAGTGCCTGTATAAATAAATAAATAAATAAATCTTAAAAAAAAATACAGATGGGTGACTCCATTTATGTAAAATTCAAAAACAAGCAAAATAATCTGTGGTGGTTGAAGCCAGAATAGTGGCTCCCTGTGGGAGGCAGGGAGCAGACAGTGATTGGTAAGGAGCATGACCAGGGTTTCTGGGATGCAGGAAATGCTATTTCTTGATGTGGGTGAAGGTGAAGGTTGTGTTCATTGTGAGATAATTCAGGAAACCATATGCATTTATGATTCATGCATTTAATATGTGTTTCATGCCAGTAAAACATTTTAAAGCATTCCCATGAATCACATTAGAATGGTTGCCCATAACAAGGTCATATAATGGAAAAAGAATATAAAAGAGAATAAATAGGTAGGTGGGTGATGGCAGGTAGCTGGCTAGGAAGATGAAAGGTCTGTGTTAGCAGTAGCACTAGAATTTTGTCCTGCCTAATATGAATACAAGTTACAGGTGGTTACTTCAATTTAAATTTTGTTGCGTCAAGACAAGACCACACTGACAAACGGGAGTCGTGGAGCAGGCTACATAATGCAGGATGCTGCTGAAGAGCAAGATCCTGGCCCTTTTATTGACACACGTAATTGGTTTTTAGGAGATTAGGGAGATTAAGGAAAGGGGAAGGGTGTAGAAGATTAGGGGTTGTGAGTCTGCCCTCCAGGCACTTCTAATCTACTTGATGCTACACCCTAATCCCCAGCCATGGTTCCAACCTTATCAACAAGGCTCTCCACTGATCAGCTTCTGGGGTCCCTTGTCATACATCGGTCCTCGGTCCACCGGGCGTTCCCGGTCATACCTCATGGTGTATAAATCAGGAGTATATGTTATGCATCGGTCCTCAGCCCCCGGGCATTCTGAACATACCTTGTGATGCATAACCTTCCCGGTGTGATCCAGCTTTGTGCTCGTTTGATCTGAAGGGTTTAAGGGTTTGGGCTCCAGTTCCTAACTGGCCAGACCACTTTGACCTTGTTTAGGTGATAAAATGGCGGCCGAATAGGCTGCCTAGGAGTAGCAGACCCACAAAATTTACTAAAATTAAATTAAAATTTCGGGGCCTCCCTGGTGGCGCAGAGGTTGAGCGCTGGCTTGCGAAGCTGCCCGCGGCCTCTGCGGTGCTGGTTCAATCCCCAGCTGCTCCCCGGCCACCAGAGGGAGGGTCCCACATGGCGCGCAGACCTCTCCTGCCGCCCGCTGCTCCCCTCAGCAGTGTACTTCGGTCCTTCTGCCTGCTCTGCTCCCCGCTCTGGCTCTGGTGAATTCTCTCGCCCTCCCGCGCTTCTGACTGTATCCAGTGCTTGTATAAATAAATAAATAAATAAATAAATAAATCTTTAAAAATAAATAAATAAATAAACTACAGACACCATTTAAAAATAAATAAATAAATAAAAATAAATTAAAATTTCGGTTCCTCCATTACATCAGTCACATTTTGAGTACTGAATAGCCATATGTAGGTAACTATAATCCACAATATTGGACAATGCAAAATATAGACAATTCATGTCACCACAGACAACATAGGTGGACATGGATAAAAGAAAAGAGGTAGGTAGAGAAAGACAATGTGAGAACCGTGTTAGAGGGCTTGTTGTAAGAAACCAACCAAAGTAACCCAAGATGTTGAAGAAATGAGATGATGGAAGCTGAGGTGATAGAAAACACCGAGGAGGAAGTGTCCGTGTCAAATGTCCCAGAGAAGGAGCTAGAACCAAGGGGCAAATAACATGTCATTAGAGTTTAGCAAAACAGTTTCCATGCAAAGTGTGTGCTGGGAAGCAGAGAGCAGGAATGGAGATGTAGCGAGACTCAGTTTCAAGTGGCTAAAACAAAAAAGGATTTAAGCAAGTGGGCAGATGTAGGAGGAATAAGAGATTAGCCTAGTTTGGGTTCTCGGCAAATGACTCACACAGAAAGTGAGGTCTGCATTCCGGACATGGAGTTAACGGGGGAGGGGTCTGGAGAAACCGGCCCGGGTGGAAGGAGGCTGAGCCCTCGGAGGCAATGGCAGGGAGGCTCAGGCAACCAAGGCGGAAGGTGCAGGAAATGGAGCCCCAAGACAGTCCTGCCAAGAGCGCGGGCTTGCATTGGCAGGGACAGGAAGCACGGAATGTCCTTGAGCAGGGGAGGAATTGGATCAAGGTTGGACCTAAGGAGGTTAGCATACATCATGCAAGATGGCGGAGCTCCCCACGGCGAGTGAGCACCTTGGAAGGACTGAGAGCATGAGAAGTTGGAAGTTGTTGGGAAACCTGAGTTTAGCAGAGTAAATTCCTTGCAGCTGTCCCCTAGTTCTGTCGCATTTGGACAAGGCAGGGGGTCTTGACCCGTGGCATGAACAGTGCCACTCCTGCCAGCAGGGAGAGGCCAGGAGGCTCAGGCTCACAAATAACCTTTGTTTGGCCTCAGATCGAAGCTGTGGTGACGGTGGTGGGATGGATATGTTTTTAATGACCATAAGGAAATGTTCCCATAGGTTTCTGAAAATAGATATGATGTGGAATAGGGGACAAGGTGCGTCATATCCCTCTTCTCCCCCCCCCAAAAAAAAATACACACACACTCGAGTCCTGGAAGGAGTAAAGAAGGATTTAACAGGTGTGTTAAATCCCGAATATTCAATTGTAAGATTTCTCACCCATTTCTGGGGACATAGGCTGCAGAAAGCTATGGCAGATTTTGAGGGGAGTTGGTCTTTCAGGGGAGACTTCAAGGCTTAGAGGACCAGAATCACCCCTGAGGCTTACCCTGACTGTCTGTCCCTCACCCCTCTTTCTCTTGAGTTCTCAGCATGTCTGACATGGAATTGGACATGTCGGTTTGTGATCATTCTTTCCTCTTAGAAACCCTGCAGCCCCTCTTCCCAGGCCTTCTCGTCCCCAGAGACCCAGAAGCCCCCTCCACCCACCCCTGACTCCTCAGGGGCTCAGGTCCTTTCCCTCAGAGCCCCCACTCCCTGTGGGTCCTTCCACCTGAGAGCCGTATTTCTTAATAACTCTGGCTTTTATCCCGTCTCCTGTTTACTCGCTGCGTGTTCCTGGTGGACTTTAGGCCCCGGTCAACCCTGAGCCTTATCTCTCCTTCAGGAATGTGCCCTGGGATGGGGGGCATCAGAGACCCCACCCATTCTAGGCACCCCGAGGCCCAGACCTCAGTGATAAGAGAGGAGGAGTCCTGGGGGCAGCAGCTGCTGGGTGTTGTCTGAGAAGTCACCCAGGCTTCGCAGCTGCTGTTTCTATAGGAGACTCCCCGAGCAAACACTGGGTCCCGGGCTAGGAGGAGGTGAGCAGGGCATGGGTCAGGCCAGCCCCCAGGAGGAACAGATTCTACCTCAGCATTCTCTTCTGCTCTCCATGTGCAACCTAGACCCCCATCTCATCACAAGCAGATTCTGGGGTGATGGGGGAACATAAACTCACCAGTCCCTGGTCAGAACAGAAAAATAAAAACCTCCCAGAAAACAAATAATTCTCCAGGAAATGGAACCTGAGTCTGTGTGGAACCAGGAAACAGAGGGCCTCTTTCCTCCTCCACCCTGGGCTCCCTCCCACCTATAGTATTTGAGTTTTTGCAGTGTGCCCTCTAGGAGCGAAAGGAGCCCAGTGGGGTTATTGGTGTTCCCATTTCCCAGATGAGGTGCCCAGCAGGCCTTTGGCACCAGGGGTGGAGGTAGTGGGTCCCACCCCACTGGCCTGGCACACAGATTCCATCCCATTCCACACACTGATTGACCCCCCATGGTGCCTGGAACAGGATGTAGGTGGCTGGGGACCAGGGAATAGCTTGTGGGGCCTGGGGAGCCGCCAGGACCCGGATGCAAGTCTTTTGCTATTGTTCCTTGAGCCAAAGGAAGAAATCCAGCCATTGAACCACCAAACACGACCCAACACCTCCTTCCGACCCTGCTCCCTGATCCCTTCTGGGGTGGGGTGGGGAGGGACACAGTCCCTCTGCTCCCACTGTTTCCCTTAGGGACACTACCCGTCCAGGACTGAAGTTTCTAGCAAGCTCCCAGAACATAGCCACCAGCTGTCTTCACAGCCCTCTCAGGACCTGGGTATCCAGCCTCATCCTCCACCCTCTCCAGGCCTTCCCCTTCCACATGACCCTGGCATCAGCAGCCTCCTCCCGGAAGCTGGCACCATCTACTTGGCAGATGGCTGAGTAGGGTGTGGCCTAAACAGCCAAGAAACCCAGCTATATAGCCCAGCCCAGGAGCCCAGTACCACACAGCTCCAGGGACCTGCAGGTGAGAGACTGAGGTCCCCTACTCTTGCCCCCATCCTGTCCTGCCCTCCTAAGCCCAACCTTAGACCAACTGAACATCCAGCTGCCCCCCTACACACATGCACTGGTCCTTGGGTCGAGCCCACCTTTGCCTCCCTGCTTCCCTGGTGGCCCTTGTCCCAAGACTTGGCCCTTCTGTCCTGTCAGGGACAGTCTCTGACAGAAGGCCACCCAGCCTTCTCTGATGCCCTTCTCTTTCCCCACTGCAGACATGGGTTCCCTGTGGAGCTGGTGGACGCTCTGGGCTGGAGCAACCCTCCTATGGGGTAAGTCGGATCGAGATCCTGCCCACATGCTGGTTACAGTATGGGGGACTCTGTGCCTGGGGCAGGACCCTCCACGTGTACCCCCTTTGCACGCCCCTCTCCCAGTCTCACCCCAGCCTGACAGAGATGGGGGGAAGAATCTATGGTCCTGCAGAGAAATGTGGCAGAAGTCACCAATCCTCTCAGTTCTGGAAGGAAGCAGGCAAAACCTTAGTCCCCAAATTTCAGTACTTCAAAACCACTGCTGTCTTGATTGTCTGTAACTCAACTAAAGCTCTGACTCAGCCTCATTCTGCTGAGGCAATGGGAAATTTCACTGAAGGCGCTCTTGGAGCGTCCGGTACCCGGTTCTCCAGGGTGATGTCCAGGAGTCCAGGACTTAAGTCTCAGTGAAGCCGAAATGCTGGGGGAAACCTGGAACATCAGGGCCCTCTCGCTGCCGGTCATCGTCTATTTAGCTTGCCTTTTGGAACAGCCGTTGTCCCTGGCCCCTTGGGACACTGGAATATCCTTCAAGGCGTCCCTTATTTGACAGACCCCCTCACTATAACACTCTCTCCGAAACCCCGTAGACCTCTCCCTCCCCCTCCCCTGGCCCCTCTCTCTAACCCTGGAGAAGCCCTTCCTGGTTGGGGCTGGTGAAAAGTGCCCCCTCCTCTCTATTTCTGTGAGGCGCTCTGTCCACGCTCCCATAACCCCCTTCTTCCCTTCACTCCCATTCCCAAATCCTACTGAGACAGAAGCCACAAAGTAGCATCCAAATCCAGCCCACTTGGTGCTTAAAGCATGGTGCTTAAATCAACTGGAGTCTAGAAAAATGGGAAGATGTGGCATTAAAAAGAGTCATCGTAAGCCATCGCAGGAACAGTGGGCTGAACAGGTGACAGCGGCCCCCTGCTGCTGGAGCGCACACAACTTGCCTGGACCCAGCGCACACAACTTGCCTGAGTGTGACATTCTTGTCCAAGGGCTCAGGCTTCTGGAGAAGGAACGTCAGCAAGGCTGGTGGGTGCGTAAACAGGAGAAAGGGAGAGAAGAGAGGCGAAAAGCCAAATTAATATTTCTAAATGTTACCCAGGCACAGGACGAGAGGTGTTACTTCCCTGATGAGTGGACCCACAACTGCGTGTTCTTATTCCAGGGTTGACCCAGGAGGCCTCCGTGAACCCCAGGAACGCCAACGACAGGGAAGAGTTCCTCACCGCCTTCCTGCAGAACTACCGGTCTGGGTACAGCCAGGCCAGTCTCCACCTCTTTCTTACCAGTATGTCGGCCAAACCTGCTTCGGTCTTCATCTTCAGCCATGCAGATGGCACCTCCCAGGAGATCACAGTGAGACCTGGGCAGTCGGTCATGGCCAATATCAGCTCCAAGGCTGAGATGATAGGCAGCAAGATCTTCCATCACGCGGTAGTAGTCCGTTCTGACCGCGCCATCTCGGTGCAGGCTGTAAACTCTAAGCCCAATTCGGCAGAGCTGACACTGCTGCAGCCTGTCCGTGCCCTGGGCACCGAGTACTTTGTGTTCACACCGCCTGGCTCCTCTACCCAGAATGTCAAGGAGTTCGCTGTGGTGGCTGGGCCAGCGAACACCACTATCCATGTGAACCTGAAGGGGGCGGTGACGTTTCAGGGCAAGTTCTACCCTGCGGGTAGTGTCTTGAGTGTGACTTTGGAGCCCTTTCAGGTGGCCCAGCTACAGAGCACGGCTGATCTCTCGGGGTCAAAGATCACAGCCAGCATCCCCGTGGCTGTCCTCTCTGGCCACACCTGCGCTCAGAAACACACAACCTGCAACCATGTTGTGGAGCAGCTGCTGCCCACATCCGCCTGGGGCACCCACTACGTGGTGGCCACGTTGGCCTCCCAGACTCGCTATGACCTGGCCTTCGTGGTGGCCAGCCAGAACACGAGGGTGACCTACAACCATGGGGGCACCACCGGCTCCCATGGGCTGCAGGAGGGCAGCGTGTTGCAGTTTGAGATCCGGCCATCCAGGCCACTCTACCTGACTGCAGACGTGGGCGTCCAGGTCCTGCTGTTTGGTACAGGTGCCACCAGGGGTGGTGTCACCCACGACCCCTACCTGGTCCTGATCCCAGATGTGGCATCCTACTGTTCTGCCTACATGGTCAAGAGCATGCCAGGCTCTAATGGTGTGGCCCTGGTGGTGACCCCGACGGAGGCTGCCAACACACTGATGGTGGATGAGAGTGCACTGGGGACCAATGTCACCTGGACACCCGTGCCCGGCAGCGAGTTCTCCTTTGCTGAAGTGGACCTCGGCACTGCTGACACCATCCACGTGGCCAAGGCTGGTACCAGCTTTGGGCTGCTCACCTTCGGACTGGGCCAGGCTGTGGGCTTTGGCACAGCAGCTGCTTGCAGCCAGAGTGAGTGATGGGAATGACCTCTGGCCCTGTCCTCCCAGTGACCCCTCTCCCCGCCCTCTCACTCATCCCCCTTTCCTACTCACCTGCTTCTCTGTGGCTTCCTGGCCCCACTGGCCTATCCTCCCCACCCATTCCAGCCTCTCTCTCCAGCCCCCAGGAGCAACACTGAATACTTAGCATCTGGGTCCCAACCAGTCAGAGCACATGCCTGCAGCAGGGGTGGTGCATTAGCCCTTTGTTGCCTGTGTTTGTGGGATGGGGGGTTCTAGGGGAGATCCAAGGTGCTACAAGTGAGGGATCTTGCGGGATGGGAGGGTCAGGTCAGCAGTTCTTACCAACCAGTTTGGAAAGATAGTGATGGCTGCCTTGTTGGGGGGCCTCGCAAAGTCACCATCATTCATGTCTAGGGCCTGGCTTAACGTGTCACCTCAGGCTCAGCATGTCAAAGAGTCATCTCAGTGTGGTGTTTGAGGGCACAGATGCTCACACCAGTCTTCAGGGTGCATATCTGCTTGTGTGACCTTGGACACGTGAACACCTCTGTGGGCCTCATCTGTAAAATGGGGTTAATAGTTGCATCCCCTTCACAGGATTGCTAAGTGAGGGTGCAGCGGGTCAGCATTTGTAAATTCCGCAGTGGGTGTCTGGCAAGTGAGAGGACTATGTAAGAGTGATTGTTACTGTGAATGCACAGAAAGCAAGGGCTTTGAAGACTGGAAAGCAGGGAAGGAAGAGCCGTTGCTGCCTACGTGGACCCCTCCCCAAGTTAGAACACTAGACACTAGGGTGTCAAGCCCTAGCAGAAATGGCCCCCACTTCTAGGGCACGGAAACCACCCTATTTCAAAGCGCTACTTGGGGGCATGACTGGTAGAATGGGGAGGGGCGGGTTTCACCAGCCATGGGCCATCAACACCGTGGGGCAGTTCCAAACCCTACTGATGCTTTAGGTTTTTTGTTTTGTTTTTTTTTTTTAAGAACAAGATGTCGATCTTGTTCTTTTCTTTTTTTCAGAGATTTATTTATTTATGCATACAAGAACCGGGGTACAGGCCAGATGCGCGGGAGGGTAAGAGCAGTCACCAGAGACAGAGTGGGGAACAGAAAAGGCAGACTGACGAAATACACTGCTGAGGGGAGCAGCGGGCGACACAGGAGAGGTCTGCCATGCCATGGGGGTTTCTCACTGGCCGGCCAGGATCGAACCTGTGCTGCAGAGGCCGCGGACAGTTTCACAACGCTGCACTCAACTGCCTGCGCCCCCAGGGGAGGGCCTGATGTTCTAGCTTATTAAAAACTGGCAACACCCCCTCCCCAAACAGTCTCCTCGTGAGGAAGGTATGATCACCCCCACCCATGTCACACGTGACAAAACGGAGGTATGGAGAGCCCAGTGGCCTTCTCTAGAGTCACACAGCTGAGTCTTTGAGCCAGGAATCCCACACAGACAACCTGACCGCACCCTCCTTCCCATTGGGTTACAGTCTCTGTCTTCCCTTTTCTCTCCTGGAAAAAGACCCTTTAACCCACTGACTGGAGTGGGAAGGAAGGGAGAGGGGAAAATGTGGAGAGAAAACCCACACAGGACATTTCCATGATTGTGCTGCTGGGACTGCACTGCCTTCCATTTCTTCTGGGATGAGCGGTGGTTAAACTGGGGAATCAGAGAACCTGGGACCTGAGGACCTGGGCCTCTCCCTCCCTGTGGGATTCCCGACTGAACCTTCCCCATTCTGTAAGGGTGGTTGGGAGGGCCCTGCCCAGACCCCCCAGGGCTGGACTCCCATCTGCTGGAACCTCCTGACAGCTGCCCCACCTTCCCTGTAGCCACCCCAGCCCCGGAGGAGGCCTCCTGCGAAGGTGTGAGTTGCCCACCCTGGCACCACTGCAAGGTGGTGGGCGGGAAGCCCACGTGCGTGGAGGTGTCCGTGGCCACCTGCCGCGCCCAGGGTGACCCCCATTACACCACCTTCGATGGCCTTCACTACGACATGATGGGCACCTGCACCTACACGATCACGGAGCTGTGCAGCAAGGACTTGTCCCTGCCTGCCTTCAGCGTGGAGGCCAAGAACGAGCACCGGAACAGCCGCCGCGTCTCCTACGTGGGCTTCGTCACCGTGCGCGCCTACGGCCACTCGGTGTCACTGGCCCGCGGGGAGGTCGGCTTTGCCCGGGTGAGTGTCCCGAGTCTTGCGGTGGAACGCCCGTGAACTCCTGTCAGGGGGAGGAGGCAGCGCTTGCGGTGGCAACGCCCAAGCCTGAGCCCTTTACCTGGGGTACAGGGTGCGGAGAAATGGGCCCAGTAGGGGTGCGGGCTGGGGAGGGGACATTTCTCTCCATTGGTTGGAGAACCAGTGGAAGAACCTTAAACCCGCTTGTCCAGCAGTTCTAGTTCTAAATTGTTTTTTCCTTTATTGGTCGACGTTTGAATTTCCTTTAAGGATGCTCAGAGATAGGGTTAGAAGAAAAAGTTGGACTTTTTTCTAATGCGGTTTTTAACGACAAAAGAAAGAAAGTGTCCAAAAGTTTACAGCTCCTGTGGAATCCTGGTAGAATTGCCTAAGTCTGTTAGGAAAACAGAGTTCATGAGACAGTGACTTCAGCAGGGTCTCCTTATTTAAAAAACGAGAAAAGGGTAAATGTATTTAGAGGTTAAAAAAAATATCTGGCAGGATTTGTACATGTGTGTGTGTGTTTATGGCAATATGGGGAATTTCTCTTTTCTCATTTTTGCTCATGTGCATTTTGTGAATTTTCTGGAAGGAACAAATGTTGCTGTGTCATTTGTAAATGGAGATCGCTGGTCCTAGGGTAGAGGCAGATTGGAACATTGAGTTGCCTGGACTGAGAGCCTGTGCGGGCAGGGTCCTGGCTGTCACCGGTCACGGCTGTGTCCTCAGCACTGCCCAGCACAGACCTGGCTGCACAGGAGGCTCCCAGAGGCTCTGCCTCTGACTCCATTTCTATACCTCATCCTCTTGGCTAAGGCAAGAATGTGTGGAGAAAGAATGAGAAAGAGGTGCTCAAGTCGGGGACAGAGGGCACAGGCAGGCGACAGACAGACACAGCCCTTGTGTCCTCTCTCCCCTCAGCACATTTGCAAAGTAATAGCCCCTCCCTCCTTATTGTCGTTGTCCTGCACTGATCCTTTCCAGGTCAGCTTAGCTGTCCCTGCCTCCAGGCAACCTCCCTGCCTTGCAGGATGGGATCTGTCCTTTGTTCAAGGCTCCCAAGGCCGCCTCTGCCGCCACTGTCCCAACCCTGACCTCTCATCTGTCATTGTCTCTTTTTTTTTAAAGATTTATCTATTTATTTATTTATTTAATTTATTTATTTAAGCACTGGGTACAGTCAGAAGCGCGGGAGGGTGAGAGAATCCACCAGAGCCAGAGTGGAGAGCAGAGCAGGCAGAAGGACCGAAGTACACTGCTGAGGGGAGCAGCGGGCGGCAGGAGAGGTCTGCGCGCCATGTGGACCCTCCTCCGGTGGCCGGGGAGCAGCCGGGCATCGAACTGCGGGCAGCCTCACAACCCAGCGCTCAACCGCTGCGCCACCAGGGAGGCCCTGTCATTGTCTCTTGACAGGTCTGTCTCCCCCATTGCACTGGGAGTCCCATGAGAGCAGACCTGGGGTTGTGTCTGTCATGGCTGCATCTCCACGGTCTCTCAGCCTAGGACCAGGCACAATGACTAGCCAGAGAGGCTCTCCCCAGTGCAGCAGGGCCTCTGCTCCCTGCCAGTACTTGCTGTCCAGCGAGGCACTGTCTGGGCACAGGAGCTGAGCAGTAGTGGAAGCAGACGAAACCCTGTCTTCGTGGCGCTGACGGTCTAGTGGATTTAGGCAGATGATAAGCACGAGAAATTTGCGAATAGTTCAAAAGGTTAGAAGTTGTGGGAGGACAGGTTAGCAGGAAAGTGGATCAGGAAGCCAGTAGGGGTAGTCAGGGATCGCCTCACTGTGATGGTGACATTTGGGGGAAGCCCTTGTAAGAGACAATGAAGCAGGGACTCCCCATTGGCGCAGTGGTTGAGCGCTGGGTTGCGAAGCTGCCCGCGGCCTCTGCGGCACCGGTTTGATCCCCGGCTGCTCCTCGGCCACTGGAGGAGGGTCCCACATGGCGCGCAGACCTCTCCTGCCGCCCGCTGCTCCCCTCAGCAGTGTACTTCGGTCCTTCTGCCTGCTCTGCTCCCCGCTCTGGCTCTGGTGAATTCTCTCACCCTCCCGCACTTCTGACTGTACCCAGTGCTTGTATAAACAAACAAACAAACAAACAAATAAACAAAACATGCCTCTATTTAAAAAAAAGAGAGACAATGAAGCGGACCATGTGTACATCTCGGGGAAGAACATTTCAGACCCAAAAGTGGCAAGAGCAAAGATTCTGAGGCTGGGATGTTGGCAGTCACAGGACGCAGGAATCCCCAAGCAGCTCGGGCAGGGCAAGTGAGTGGAAGGAGGCGGGATGCAGGCCAGGCCACACGGGTCCTCACCAGCCCTCACTCCCGCCCCCCAGATCGACAACCAGCGCTCAAGCCTGCCGGTCTCCATGGAGGAGGGGAGACTGCGCGTGTATCAGAGCGGGAGGCGCGCCATCGTGGAGCTGGACTTCGGGCTGATCGTCACCTACGACTGGGACTGCCAGCTGGCGGTGAGCCTGCCCGAGAAGTTCAAAGACAACGTGTGCGGTTTATGCGGCAACTACAACGGCAACCCCAAAGATGACTTCCTCACCCGTGACGGAGTGCTTGCTCCTAATGCCATGGAGTTTGCCAGCAAATGGAAGCTGGACGACGGGGACTACCTGTGTACGGATGGCTGTGCAGACAACTGTCCCTCCTGCACCCCAGGCCAGGCCCAGCACTATGAGGGCGACCGTCTCTGTGGCATGCTGACCCTGCCAAGCGGCCCCTTTGCTGTCTGCCACCATGCCCTGGAGCCGAAGCCCTTCCTGCAGGAGTGTGTCTATGACATGTGTGTAGGCAGTGGGGACCGGTCCAATCTGTGCCGTGCCCTCAGCGCCTACGCCCAGGCCTGTCTGGAACTTGGCATCTCTGTCGGGAACTGGAGGTTGCCAGCCAACTGCCGTAAGTGATGCCCCGGGAGGTGGACGTGGGGGGAGGCAGGGACCACTTGCATGTGTGGACCCTCACTGTGGTTCAGCTTGGATTTGGGCCATGCCAGGGAGACAGCCATCCATGGCCACGAAGGCCGGGCCCTGCCCACAGCAAGCCTGCAGCTGGAGAAGATGCAACTGCACAGCGTCAGTCCACAGTGGTGTTGGCTGGGGTGGGGGAGGCACAGCAGAGAAATCAGGGTCAGGATGGTCGAAGTCCAAGGGGCCATGGGAGACGAGAGAAGCTTCCTGACTCAGCCTGGGGGTCAAGGAGGATTTACTAGGAAAGAGATCCCAGTGAGAAACCTGTAGGAGGGGAGGAACCAGGCAGAAATTAAGGAGGCAGGAAGTAAGTTCCAGGCCAGAAGAAGAGCATGCGCAAGGGCTTGGCATGAGAGTAGTCTTCAGAGTCCCAGTGCAGATGCATGAGCCTCTCCTCCCTGACTCCTCCACATCCCTCTAGCAGTCCAAGCTCTTTAACCAGGGCTCCATCCACTTCATCGTTCCCTCGTTTATTTATTTGTTCAATAAGCATTCACCGAACCCTTATCTGGCCCCATCACTGTGCTGGTAATGGGCCCAGTGGGAGCCAACACACACCTGTCCCTGCCCTTGTGAGGCTCCCAGAGAAATGTTCAGGAGATAGAAGGTTAGGGGGAAGGGAGGAGGAGGCATCCAGGCCCAGATCCGGGCCTTGAGGCAGAGACTGCTGTGGGGAGACTGTCTGGGGAAGGTGCTGAGGCCACTGGGATTTGTCTTGGTCGCTGCCGTATCTTCACTGCCCAGTAACCTCCTCCCTCCCCCCACCAGTTTCTCCGTGTCGGGTACAAAAAGAGGGAGCAGTGTGCTCATTCCTCCACCCGGTTGTCTCTGCGGCACTGACCTCGTCTGTGGGCCCAGCACTGTGCTTGGTGCTGGATTCAGCGTTGATTGAGACAGACTAGGTCCTCACACTCACAGACTTGCATCCTAGCAGGACACACAGATAGTAAGCAGTAAACTGTGGAGTATTTTCAGAGTGCAAAGGAAGCAAAGTTCTTGTGATAAGAGCACATGGGAGGTCGTGGAAGAGGGTGCACAGGGAAGGCCTTTCTTAGGTGGTGATGTTGGAGCAGAGACCAGGAAGAGTTGTGGGCATCAGCATCACCTGCTGGCGGCTGTGTTTCTAGGTGCCTGCAAGATTATCTCATTTGCTCCTCACAGAAACTAACTATCCCATCTTACTAATGTGGAAACGGAGGCACCGGGAGATTGGAGTTACTTGCTTATGGTCACAGAGCTAAGAAAGGGAGACCTGGGATTTGACCCCAGGCCATGTGGGTTTAAGTAGCCTTCTCTTAACCACACACTGCATCACCCTCTAAAAGGCAGAGGGAAGAGCCAATGCAGAGGCCCTGAGGTGGCCTTGTGAGGACCCCTTGGGAGGTACTATGACTGGAGCAAAGAGCCAGAGGGAGAGCGAGTGGAGACTGGGCCAGGGAGTTAATGGGGCAGATAGTGGGAGACTCGTGGTGGGCGCTGACTTTTCCCCTCAGGGAGAGCACGCACAGAGGGAACGCATCTGCCTCAGGTGAGCACAAGGGCGCTCTGGCTGCTTGTGAGGAAAAGACTGGGGACAGTAGGAGAGTGGGTGACACTAGGCAGGAGGCTACGGGATTGGACAGTGGAGTGGGGGCCTTGGTGAGAGGAGACTGTAGTAGATCCTGTCTGGATCGATTTGTGTTAGGAACGTCACCGTGAAGGGGGCAGGGGAGTCAGCTGTGTCTCTGAGGATTGGGGCCTATAAACCAGGCAGGAAGGGCCACTCCTGAGATGGAGAGGTCTGGGGGTGGAGCAGGTTTGAGGAGGGGAGTCTGAGGCATGCCCTTATATGGGGCACCCCTTGAGGGACCCTCTGTAGTGGCTTGACAGATGCCCTCCTTGTCCCCACAGCCCTTTCCTGCCCCGCCAACAGCCGCTATGAGCACTGCAGCCCGGCCTGCCCCATCTCCTGTAACCCCACCGGCGCGCCTTCCAACTGCTCCGAGCGCCCCTGCGTCGAAGGCTGCGTGTGCCTCCCTGGCTTCGTGGCCAGTGGAGACGCCTGCGTGGCTCCCTCCTCCTGTGGCTGCCTCTTTGAAAACCACTTGCTTGCGCCTGGGGAGGCTGTGTGGGCCGACCAGAAGTGCCGGCGGCGCTGTGTCTGCGACGCCAAAACACACAAGATGGTCTGCAGCGACACACCTGGCTGTCCGAGTGGCGAGCGCTGCCGCATCCAGAACGGCCTCTTAGGTTGCTACCCCAACAGCCTTGGGATTTGCCAGGCATCCGGGGACCCACACTACTTGACCTTCGACGGCCGGCGCTTTGACTTCATGGGCACCTGCACATACCTGCTGACCGGCACGTGCGGTCCGACTGGGACGCTGCCCGCCTTCCGGGTGCTGGTGCAAAATGAGCATCGGGGCAGCCAGACCGTGAGCTACACGCGTGCCGTGCGCGTGGAGGCCCACGGCGTGAAGGTGGAAGTGCGCAGGGAGTACCCCGGGAGAGTGCTGGTGAGTGATGCCCCTGGCACAGTGGAGGCAGGACAGACCCTGAGACTTGGGAGGGCCTCTGGGTTAGGGTGGGGCTGGACGGGAGGCAATTCTGTGGTCAGTGTAGGAACGGGCCCCCGCCTAGCAGGAGCCCTCCCCTGGGCCTGTGACTTTGTCTCTCTGGCCTCAGTTTTGGTTTTTTTTTTTTTTTTTGTTTTGTTTTTGTTTTTTTTAAATTCTACCCATTTCTTTTCTTTTTTTTTTTTTTTTAAAGATTTATTTATTTATTTTATTTTATACAAGCACTGGGTACAGTCAGAAGCGCGAGAGGGTGAGAGAATTCACCAGAGCCAGAGCGGGGAGCAGAGCAGGCAGAAGGACCGAAGGACACTGCTGAGGGGAGCAGCGGGCGGCAGGAGAGGTCTGCGCGCCATGTGGGACCCTCCTCTGGTGGCCAGGGAGCAGCCGGGGATTGAACCAGCATGCAGAGGCTGCGGGCAGCTTCACAACCCAGCGCTTAACCACTGCGCCACCAGGGAGGCCCTGTCCTCAGTTTTGTCCACAATCAGATGGGCCATCCAATAACCACCCATAGGGGGGTCAAAATCAGGGTAGGGCAGGGATTTAACCAGTTAATATTGGCCTCTGTGTAGAAGGGCCCTTGCCACCCAGGAAATTTTCAGTCAATGTTGACTTCACATTGTTAGGTATGAACCACCGCAAGTTGTAGTCTGGGCCTATTCTGGAAGATAATGACTTTTGGACAGTAAGGTGACAAGTGAAATGTAGGCAAAGAGAGGTATGTGTGTGAGTTGTGTGTGTGTATGATTGGGGTTCACAGAGTCTCCCAACTACGCAAGGGAATGGAGACTACCAGATGGGCACCCCCCTGGGCACGTTTCTGTGTGAACGTCCTTTGAAGGTCCTTACTCAGCAAAAGTGCAGAACCACCGATTTTTCTTTTCAAATGACGAAAATCATGCAGCTAAGGAGTAGCAGAATCTGAAGCCAGGCTGTCTGCCTCCAGAGTGTATACTCTTTTTTTCAGAAGATCTTCTTTATTTATGCATACAAAACTGGGGACGAGGCCATAGGTGCGGGGGTAGGCGGGGAATGGACTCACCAGAGACAGAGTGGGGAACAAAAGAAGCAGACTGCCTGAAATACACTGTTGGGGGAACAGCGAGAGCGACAGGAGTGGTCTGCTGCGCCACGTGGGTCAGCTCCATGACTCCTGAAGGGAGAAGGGACAGCAGCCAGATGAAAAGTGGTAGGTGGTCTTCTTGGCACAGTGAAAAGACCTGGATGCCTGACTCAACTGGAAGAGTTAGAGAAATATCAGGAAAGCCAGGGTGACAGGAAAGATGACAGATGGGGAATGGGGTATAACTGAGCTCAGAGAGGTGATGGGGTTCAGGTCACATGGGCTCTGAAGGCTGTGGGTTCGGTGCAGAATTAGCATGATACCAAAAGGATGACAGGAGGTGCACGCTGTGCCAGGCAGAGGGAGCAGCCTGAGCAGTGGCCCTGAGCTGGGGCCTAGCATAAGGGACCTTGAGTACACTGACCTCTGTGGACCCCAATCTCTTCCCAGGTGGATGGTGTCCTTCAATACCTGCCCTTCCAGACGGCAGATGGGCAAGTGCAGGTGTACCGCCAGGGCCAAGACGCCGTCGTGCGCACGGACTTTGGCCTGATAGTCACCTACGACTGGAACACCCGAGTGACTGCCAAGGTGCCGAGCAGCTATGCCGGCATGCTGTGTGGGCTCTGCGGAAACTTCAATGGGCGCACGGAAGACGACCTGGAACTGCGCGGAGGAGGCCAGGCTGCCAATGCACTGGCCTTTGGAAACAGCTGGCAGGAGGAGACAAGTCCAGGCTGCGGAGCGAACCCACCAGGAGACTGTCCCCAGCTGGACTCCATGGTGGAGGAGCAGCTGCAGAGCAAGAAAGAGTGTGGCATCATCGCCGACCCAGACGGTCCCTTCCAGGACTGCCACTACTACCTGGAGCCAGAGGACTTCCTGCGTGACTGTGTCTATGACCGCTGCCTGCTGCCCGGCCAGCCCGGGTCTCTATGTGACGCCTTAGCCGACTACACGGCCGCCTGCCAGGCCGCCGGGGCCACCGTGGAGCCCTGGAGGACTGAGGAATTTTGCCGTGAGTATCGCGAGGGCCCTGGTGTTGGGAGCGGGAGCGGTAGGGGGGCACTCAGCCTGTTGCCTATTCATGAACGTGTCCTATCATGAGGTCATCATCCTTCTAACGGCCCCAGGAGGTTGGCGGTGTGGGTAAAGCCGTAGACGGGCAGGAAGCCAAGGTTCTGAAAGCTTCAGTTCCATGTCAGGGAGCGTGGCCGCAGGGCAGTGGCGGGTGCAGGGAATCCTCGTAAAATGACCTGGTTTATCTTGGGACCCCCGTTTGATTCCCACATGGCAGGGGGGCCATCAGCAATCACCACCGACCCTGGCACACTTCTCGGCCCCAAGGGGCTGCCATATGTGGACTTGGATGAGCTGTAGAAATACCTGAGACCCTAAGTCCCTAAGTGTTGAAAACAAACAAGGTTGTTGTGAGTTATCCTTGCAGGAGCCTTAGTAGTGATCACACTATTAAACACCCAGGAGCATCATGGAAAGGGCTGTCTAGTGAGACAATGGGCCTCCCCCTCCGCTCTCATGTGTTGTTAGAGGAGACAGGGCGTCGACCCCGTCGTCCTGGTTTTCACTCTTGTAGATGTGACGTGAGCAAGTGGGTGGCAGTGGAGGGCCCTTCTCTGGCCCCTGTGAGCCGAGGGCTGCACCAAACAGGGAGACCCCATGACACCCACCTCTTTGGGCCTCCCGGCCTCTGATTCTCTTAGTCTCTCCACCACTGGAGAGAAGCAGAGCGGAGGAGTGCCTGCGGCGTGCTGATGCGTCCATCTCCCGCAGTGCGAGCACTGAGAAGTGGTGCCCCATGGCCCTGGCGGGGTCCCCCTCAGGGGAGGTCACCGCCGTGAATGGCGAGTGGCCGGGGCCCGGTGTTCTCTGCTAAGTGGAGAAGCACCTTCACAGGGGAGTCTTTTCCGCCCACCACAAGCCCTTTCCCGGTCAGGAAGACACCTGGGCTCACAGCTGACCCCGCAGGCTTCTCCCCAACCCCAGGCAGCTCTGTGCTCACGGCCTCTCAGTCCTCGCTTCATCCTCTCAGCCGCCCTGCTCTGTCATCTTGCTCTTTGACACTCTGCGGACATGTTAAGAGTGAGATACTAATGTATGTGAGGAAACACGTTAAAGAGAAAGTAGCACAGGGATATTAAGTAAGTGGCCCGAGGTCACAGAGCAGCAGGACAGGTGGGTGCACCCAGGCAGACGCCCCGAATTTGTACTATTGAAGACACCTTGCTCAGGCCTCTGTGCACATTGAGAATCTCTGTTTCCCTCCCGCGAGTCTTGCCCTTGTACCCTGGTAGCTCTAGAAGGCCGTGCTGTTAGAACTTGGGCAAGAGGCAGAGGGGAGCTCAGGCAGGCCCCACACCCCAATACCCACAATACCCAGCACCAACTTCCACAGTTACTGCATTCTGGCCAATCCTGGGCCCTCCTCCCCTTTCTCCATCACTTCCTGGTGGCTTTTCTTATTTTCATGGATGTTTTAAAGGAAACTTTAGTTTGAGTTTCTCCACAGTTACTCTTTTTCTTATGCAAAGCGGGTCAGATTTCCCCCCATATCATCCCAGTTCCCCAAACTTGGATGCATGTCCTGCCCCCTCCCGATCCCCACAGATGTCTCCCTCACCTAGCAGGGACTGCTGTTTGAACTTCCTCTGCTCTGTCACTTCCCGCGTGTGCGTTTCCTGTGCTCTGCACACATGTGACACTGTTTCACATTTGTGTTATCCTCCTGGCTTCACTGCTCCCAGTCCCCGGATTTCCCGGATCAGGCCCCAAATGGTGACACTTCCTCACCTTAGACAGAAGCGTCTTTGGTGCAGTGGACGGGCGCAGCCTCCTGACCAGTCCTCCCTCGGCGCGAGGTCGCCGTGCTCAGATACCAGCAATGTGTTTTAACGTCCAACCGTGTTCCTGCTGTAGAGCGGGGCAGCTGAGACTGTTGCATTCATACTCACACTACACACACACACGCATGCTCTACCTGCACACGTTTGTGTCATACATGTCCCAGCGTTCAAAGGCTGCTACCAGCTGGAGCCTTCACTGAGGACACTGTTCCCAAACCACAGTTAATTGTGGGAGCCCCTCCGTTCTCAGCATCAGGTCACTGTGGTGTCTTCTGTTGCCCAAGCAGGGCTGAGTTCACCCTCCTCAGCCCTGCCTGTGCGGCATGTGAGGGAGCCGGGCGTGGGGTCCCGGTGTGACCCTGGGGAGCCAGGAAGGCTGACCCTCACGAGCACTCTCCTGCAGCCATGAGCTGCCCTCTCAACAGCAGCTACGAGTTGTGTTCCCACGGCTGCCCACTGTCCTGCGGAGACCAGCCAGTGCCCGGGGGCTGCGGCTCCGACTGCCACGAGGACTGCATGTGTGATGAGGGCTTCGTGCTGAGCGGTGAGTCCTGCGTGCCCCTGGCCTCCTGCGGCTGCGTCCACCAGGGCGCCTACCACCCGCTGGGCGAGAGCTTCTACGAACCAGGCTGCAAGTCACTGTGCCACTGCCACGAGGGCGGAGTGGTGACCTGCCAGCCCTCCACCTGTGGCCCCCACGAGGCCTGCCAGCCGTCCAACGGCGTCCTGGGCTGTGTGCCCGTGGGCTCCGTCACCTGCCAGGCGTCGGGAGACCCCCACTACACCACCTTCGACGGCCGCCGCTTCGACTTCATGGGCCTCTGTGTGTACGTGCTGGCCCAGACCTGCGGGAACCGCACGGGCCTGCACCGATTCACCGTCCTGCAGGAGAACGAGCGCTACAGCAGCCGTGCCAGCGTCACCAAGGCCATCACTGTGCTGGTGGATAACTACAGCCTGCGGCTGGAGCAGAGGAAGTGGAAGGTCACGGTGAGAGCAGGGGAGGGCCACGAGGAGCAGGAAGGGATTGGGTGGTGTGTGGGTGCGGCGGCACCATCTGGCCTTCTCACAGGGGCCTCAGAGCTCTGCGGGCAGGGAGGATCGAGGGCCAAGGGACAGAAGGTGTCACTCAAAGCCCAGTCCGGGTCCAGGCAGGAGCAGGCCTGCCACGTGCAGCCAGTGGCCCTGTTCTCTCCAGGCTCCCTGCCTCTGCTGCTCCACCGTCCCTCTGAGGGGCTGTCCTGGCCCCTGTTCTCTTCCACTTCCACGTCCCCCCTCCAACCCTGGCTCAGCCACCTCCCAGGTCTCCCGCCTGGAGCAGGACAGGAACAGTCTGGGGAAGTCCAAGGACAGGACCGTCCATGATGTCCCCATGTCCGTGCCAGCTGCTCCTGTGCCCACACTGCCCTGCCCCTCGTGTCGCTGAGCACCTCCCAGCCACACTGTCCTGTCCCCCGTGCCAGCACATGCAGGTGCCATGGTTTGCTGCCCTTTTCAGAGGGGCTGGTCCCATCTCTGGCCAAAGCCCCCTGTAAAGGCAGGAGCGAGCCCGTGACTGTGTCCTAGACTCTGTGTTCTGGGCTTGGTGCCCCGGGGCGCTTCCGTGAGAGAAGGGTTTGCTCTCTTGGAAACTGGCATTTCACTTACCTGGAGGGATGGCCCCCCAAGGAACCACTGACACGTGGGCATCAATCGTGGGCTTACAGTGGCACGGACGGCGAGTGTGCCGGTTGGCAGAGGCTGCTCCTGTGCTCACTGTGCCCTGGTCATTGGTGTGGCCGGGCTCCTGGAATAACCCCCATTCTTTCTGGTGTTCTTGCTGCTTTGCACACATCTGTAGCCCCCAAATTCTCCGGGGGGTGCAGCCTTTTACCATCCCCATTTTATGGATGAAGAAATGAGGTGCAGAGATTAAATCACTTGAACTTAACCTGTCGCTCTGTGCCGGGAGTGTGGCGGTTGGCTGTGTGTTTAGGAGAGTTTCCAGGAGCTTGTCTTCCTCCCACCTTCTCTCACTCCTCACGCCTCCCAAGGAATCCAGGGCTCACCCATGCGGTCGGGGAGGACAAGCTATTGAGGCTTTGCTGGCGCCCAGCTGCAGCTGAAGCACTAATTCTTAGCCCACGGATATGACGTTCCTTCCCCAGGCCGCGAGCTTGGCTTTCTATTCACTGATACTTAACGCAAAAACCCTTTACATCAGGTCCTCTTCAAAAACACTTCCAGTCTTACCAGTAACCGTGTGAAATGCTCCCAGAGCATCCATTCTGGGCCACACACATTTCTCAGCACTTTTCAAACAGGAATGGGTCTAACCTGACGACAGCCCCGTGGGGTAAGGACAGAAACGCAGAGAATGGATTCACCGCCCACATCCCAGGGAGTGGAAGGGCAGAGATGAGTCGTTCCCAGGCGGGTGGCCCCAGGGCCATCACCACGTTACAGACCGCCGGGGAGTGGGGCCAAGGGAAGCTGTCAGGCTGGGCCGCCTCTGAGGCCTGTCAGGGTCCTGTGACTGCCACTGCAAATCGCCACCACCATGACAGCTTGAAAGAGCAGAAATTTATTTTCTCACTGCTGTGAGGCAGGGCCCATGCGCCCAGATGTCAGCCTGGCTGCATCATGCAACGGCTGTCGGGAAGATTCCTTCCTCCCCTCTCCCGGCTTCTGTGGCCGCAGGTGTGGCATATGTCGTGGCCACATCCCTCCAGTCCCAGCCTCTCCTCACCTTCACGAGCCCTCTCTCTGTGTCCCTGCGTCTTCCCTTCCAGCCTGTCCAGGGTCCCCTCTCATCCAGGATGAGGCTCACTCCCTTCATCACATCTGCAAATATCCTCACTCCAGATTAGGTCTACACTGGGTTCTGGTGCAGGTGTCTCGGGGAGCACCATGGAGCCCACGGCAGCCATTATTCCATGCCACTTGTCCAGAGTGGAAGCCAGGCCCAGCGAGTTGAGATGAGGGGTCAGAGGCATTGGACTCTCAGGCGTGCCGCCTAAGTGTGCCCTCCCCCGCTGGCAGGTGAATGGCGTGGACATGAAGCTGCCCGTGGAGCTGGCCGAGGGCCGGATTCGTGCTTTCAAGCACGGCAAGGACGCGGTGATCCAGACCGACTTTGGTCTGCGTGTGGCCTACGACCTCGTGTACAATGTGCGGGTCACGGTGCCAGGCAACTACTACGAGCAGATGTGTGGCTTGTGCGGAGACTACAACGGCGACTCCAAGGATGACTTCCAGAAGCCCGACGGCTCGCAGGCAGGCAACCCCAACGACTTTGGCAACTCTTGGGAGGAGAAGGTGCCAGGCTCACCCTGCCTGTCGCCGCCCCCCTGCGAGGACTGCGGGCCAGTTTGCACCCCTGAGCAGGAGCAGCAGTACCAGCAGGAGAAGTTCTGTGGCTTCCTCACCAAGCCCACTGGGCCGCTGGCCGCCTGCCACAAACTGCTCAGCCCCCAGGGTGCCCTGAAGGACTGCATCTTCGACCTGTGCGTGAGCGGCGGGAACCTGAGCATCCTCTGCTCGAGCATCGAGGCCTATGTGAGCGCCTGCCAGGCAGCCGGAGGCCATGTGGAGCCCTGGAGGACCGAATCTTTCTGCCGTGAGTGCGGGTTCAGGAGGAGCAAAGCCAGGGGCAGACAGGGAGGTGGGGCTGGGCAAAGGGCAGGCTGTGACAGGGAAGCAGGGAACACGGGGTGTTGGGACCGCTCTCCACGGGCGCTGACGGGCACGCTCTCTCTGCAGCAATGAAGTGCCCCCCCAACAGCCACTATGAGGTCTGCGCGGACACCTGCTCCCTGAGCTGCTCGGCCCTCGGCACCCCCCAGAACTGCCCCGAAGGCTGTGCTGAGGGCTGCCAGTGCGACCCTGGCTTCCTCAACAGCGGCGAGGCCTGTGTGCCCATGGAGGAGTGCGGCTGCTATCACAACGGCGTCTACTACGAGGTAGTGGGATCCCGGCATCCCGGGCAGAGTCCAGGCCTCAGCCCCAGCCCGTCCCTTAGTGTTCGCGCTGGGAATGGAGAAACAACCCTGAGCATCTGCTCCAGAGCCTTTGCCCTTACTCCCTCTTGGAATCTCTCCTGCAGCAGAGGCTCAGGGGAGAGTTTGCAATAAATGAGTGCGTGAGTGAGGGAGTGAGGGAGCCAGTGAGTGATAGCGAAGCTATGCAGCCCCTTTGTTTCTCAGACATGGCATTGCCTTGCTGAATAGGTGGGTTTCATGTGCTTGGGTCCTGCTCTGTGCACAGCAGCAGCGATGGCAGTGTAGCACCCACCTGACGCCCGCACCCTGTGTCCCCACAGCCAGACGAGTCGGTGCTTCTTGACAATTGCCAGCAGCACTGCGTGTGCCACGCTGGCAAAGGCATGGTGTGCAAGGAGCACAGCTGCAAGCCTGAGGAGGAGTGCCGCGCCCAGAACGGCCTCTTGGGTTGCTACCCCAACAGCCTTGGGAGTTGCCAGGCATCCGGGGACCCACACTACTTGACCTTCGACGGCCGGCGCTTTGACTTCATGGGCACCTGCACATACCTGCTGACCGGCACGTGCGGTCCGACTGGGATGCTGCCCGCCTTCCGGGTGCTGGTGCAAAATGAGCATCGGGGCAGCCAGACCGTGAGCTACACGCGTGCCGTGCGCGTGGAGGCCCGCGGCGTGAAGGTGGAAGTGCGCAGGGAGTACCCCGGGAGAGTGCTGGTGAGTGATGCCCCTGGCACAGTGGAGGTAGGACAGACCCTGAGACTTGGGAGGGCCTCTGGGTTAGGGTGGGGCTGGACGGGAGGCAATTCTGTGGTCAGTGTAGGAACGGGCCCCCGCCTAGCAGGACCCCTCCCCTGGGCCTGTGACTTTGTCTCTCTGGCCTAAGTCTTGTCCTCCATCAGACGGGCCAATCCAATACCACACCCAGGGGTGTCAAAATCAGGGTACCGCAGGGATTTAACCAGTTAATATTGGCCCCTGTGTAGAAGGGCCCTTGCCACCCAGGAAATTTTCAGTCAATGTTGACTTCACATTGTTAGGTATGAACCCCCGCAAGTTGTAGTCTGGGCCTATTCTGGAAGATAATGACTTTTGGACAGTAAGGTGACAGGTGAAATGTAAGCAAATAGAGGTATGCGTGTGAGTTGTGTGTGTGTGTGTGTTTGGGGTTCACAGAGTCTCCCAACTACGCCAGGGAATGGAGACTACCAGATGGGCACCCCCCTGGGCACGTTTCCGTGTGAACGTCCTTTGAAGGTCCTTACTCAGCAAAAGTGCAGAACCACCGATTTTTCTTTTCAAATGACGAAAATCATGCAGCTAAGGAGTAGCAGAATCTGAAGCCAGGCTGTCTGCCTCCAGAGTGTATACTCTTTTTTTCAGAAGATTTTCTTTATTTATGCATACAAAACTGGGGACGAGGCCATAGGTGCGGGGGTAGGCAGGGAATGGACTCACCAGAGACAGAGTGGGGAGCAAAAGAAGCAGACTGCCTGAAATACACTGTTGGGGGAACAGCGAGAGCGACGGGAGTGGTCTGCTGTGCCACGTGGGTCAGCTCCATGACTCCTGAAGGGAGAAGGGACAGCAGCCAGATGAAAAGTGGTAGGTGGTCTTCTTGGCACAGTGAAAAGACCTGGATGCCAGATTCAACTGGGAGAGTTAGAGAAATATCAGGAAAGCCAGGGTGACAGGAAAGATGACAGATGGGGAATGGGGTATAACTGAGGTCAGGGAGGTGATGTTCGGTGCAGAATTAGCATGATACCTGAAGGATGACAGGAGGTGCACTCTGTGCCAGGCAGAGGGAGCAGCCTGAGCAGTGGCCCTGAACTGGGGCCTAGCATAAGGGACCTTGAGTACACTGACCTCTGTGGACCCCAATCTCTTCCCAGGTGGATGGTGTCCTTCAATACCTGCCCTTCCAGGCGGCAGATGGGCAAGTGCAGGTGTACCGCCAGGGCCAAGACGCCGTCGTGCGCACGGACTTTGGCCTGATAGTCACCTACGACTGGAACACCCGAGTGACTGCCAAGGTGCCGAGCAGCTATGCCGGCATGCTGTGTGGGCTCTGCGGAAACTTCAATGGGCGCACGGAAGACGACCTGGAGCTGCGCGGAGGAGGCCAGGCTGCCAATGCGCTGGCCTTTGGAAACAGCTGGCAGGAGGAGACAAGTCCAGGCTGCGGAGCGAACCCACCAGGAGACTGTCCCCAGCTGGACTCCATGGTGGAGGAGCAGCTGCAGAGCAAGAAAGAGTGTGGCATCATCGCCGACCCAGACGGTCCCTTCAAGAAGTGCCACTCCAAACTGGAGCCAGAGGGCTTCCTGCGTGACTGCGTCTACGACCGCTGCCTGCTGCCCGGCCAGCCCGGGTCTCTATGTGACGCCTTAGCTGACTACACGGCCGCCTGCCAGGCCGCCGGGGCCACCGTGGAGCCCTGGAGGACCGAGGAATTTTGCCGTGAGTATCGCGAGGGCCCTGGTGTTGGGAGCGGTAGGGGGGCACTCAGCCTGTTGCCTATTCATGAACGTGTCCTATCATGAGGTCATCATCCTTCTAACGGCCCTAGGAGGTTGGCGGTGTGGGTAGAGCCGTTGACGGGCAGGAAGCCAAGGTTCTGAAAGCTTCAGCTCCGTACCAGGGACCATGGCCGCAGGGCAGTCGCAGGTGCAGGGAATCCTCGTAAAATGACCTTTAGATCTGGGGACCCTATTTGATTCCCCCATGGTGGGAGGGCCATCAGCAATCACCACCGACCCTGCACACTTCTTGGCCCTAAGGGGGTGCATATATGGACATTGAATTGCTGTAGAAATTCCGGAGCCTCTAAGTCCCTAAGTGTTCAAAACAAACAAGGTTGTTGTGAGTTATCCTTGCGGGAGCCTTAGTAGTGATCACACTATTAAACATCCCAGGAGCATCATGGGAAGGGCTGTCTAGTGAGACAATGGGCCTCCCCCTCCCGCTCTCACCTGTTGTTAGAGGAGACGGGGCGTCGTCCCCGTCGTCCTGGTTTTCACTCTTGTAGATGTGACGTGAGCAAGTAGGTGGCAGTGGAGGGCCCTTCTCTGGCCCCTGTGAGCGGAGGGCGGCACCACACAGGGAGACCCCATGACACCCACCTCTTTGGGCCTCCCGGCCTCTGATTCTCTTAGTCTCTCCACCACTGGAGAGGAGCAGAGTGGAGGAGTGGCTGCGGCGTGCTGATGCGTCCATCTCCCACAGTGCGAGCGCTGAGAAGAGGTGCCCCATGGCCCTGGCGGGGTCCCCCTCAGGGGAGGACACCGCCTTGAGAGGCGAGTGGCCGGGGCCGGGTGTTCTCTGCTAAGTGGAGAAGCACCTTCACAGGGGAGTCTTTTCCGCCCACCACAAGCCCTTTCCGGGTGGGGATGCCATCTGGATTCACAGCTGACCCCGCAGGCTTCTCCCCAACACCAGGCAGCTCTGTGCTCACGGCCTCTCAGTCCTTGCTTCATCCTCTCAGCCGCCCTGCTCTGTCATCTTGCTCTTTGACACTCTGCGGAGATGTTAAGAGTGAGATACTAATGTATGTGAGGAAACACGTTAAAGAGAAAGTAGCACAGGGATATTAAGTAAGTTGCTCGAGGTCACAGAGCAGCAGGACAGGTGGGTGCACCCAGGCAGACGCCCCGAATTTGTACTATTGAAGACATCTTGCTCAGGCCTCTGTGCACATTGAGAATCTCTGTTTCCCTCCCGCGAGTCTTGCCCTTGTACCCTGGTAGCTCTAGAAGGCCGTGCTGTTAGAACTTGGGCAAGAGGCAGAGGGGAGCTCAGGCAGGCCCCACACCCCAATACCCACAATACCCAGCACCAACTTCCACAGTTACTGCATTCTGGCCAATCCTGGGCCCTCCTCCCCTTTCTCCATCACTTCCTGGTGGCTTTTCTTGTTTTCATGGATGTTTTAAAGGAAACTTTAGTTTGAGTTTCTCCACAGTTACTCTTTTTCTTATGCAAAACGGGTCAGATTTCCCCCCATATCATCCCAGTTCCCCAAACTTGGATGCATGTCCTGCTCCCTCCTGATCCCGGCAGATGTCTCCCTCACCTAGCAGGGACTGCTGTTTGAACTTCCTCTGCTCTGTCACTTCCCGCGTGTGCGTTTCCTGTGCTCTGCACACATGTGACACTGTTTCACATTTGTGTTATCCTCCTGGCTTCACTGCACCCAGTCCCCGGATTTCCCGGATCAGGCCCCAAATGGTGACACTTCCTCACCTTAGACAGAAACGTCTTTGGTGCAGTGGACGGGCGCAGCCTCCTGACCAGTCCTCCATCGGCGCGAGGTCACCGTGCTCAATACACTCAATGTGGTGCAACGTCCAACCAAGTTCCTGCTGTAGATCAGGGTAGCTGAGACTGTTACATTCACACTCACACTACACATGCACACGCATGCTCTGCCCGCACACGTGCGTGTCATACATGTCTCAGGTTTCAAAGGCTGCTACCAGCTGGAGCCTTCACTGAGGACACTGTTCCCAAACCACAGTTAATTGTGGGAGCCCCTCCGTTCTCAGCATCAGGTCACTGTGGTGTCTTCTGTTGCCCAAGCCGGGCTGAGCTCGCCCTCCTCAGCCCTGCCTGTGCCGCATATGAGGGAGCCGAGCGTGGGATCCCGGTGTGACCCTGGGGAGCCAGGAAGGCTGACCCTCACGGGCACTCTCCTGCAGCCATGAGCTGCCCTCTCAACAGCAGCTACGAGTTGTGTTCCCACGGCTGCCCACCGTCCTGCGGAGACCAGCCAGTGCCCGGGGGCTGCGGCTCCAACTGCCATGAGGACTGCGTGTGTGATGAGGGCTTCGTATTGAGCGGTGAGTCCTGCGTGCCCCTGGCCTCCTGCGGTTGCGTCCACCAGGGCGCCTACCACCCGCTGGGCGAGAGCTTCTACGAACCAGGCTGCAAGTCACTGTGCCACTGCCACGAGGGCGGAGTGGTGACCTGCCAGCCCTCCACCTGTGGCCCCCACGAGGCCTGCCAGCCGTCCAACGGCGTCCTGGGCTGTGTGCCCGTGGGCTCCGTCACCTGCCAGGCGTCGGGAGACCCCCACTACACCACCTTCGACGGCCGCCGCTTCGACTTCATGGGCCTCTGTGTGTACGTGCTGGCCCAGACCTGCGGGAACCGCACGGGCCTGCACCGATTCACCGTCCTGCAGGAGAACGAGCGCTACAGCAGCCGTGCCAGCGTCACCAAGGCCATCACTGTGCTGGTGGATAACTACAGCCTGCGGCTGGAGCAGAGGAAGTGGAAGGTCACGGTGAGAGCAGGGGAGGGCCACGAGGAGCAGGAAGGGATTGGGTGGTGTGTGGGTGCGGCGGCACCATCTGGCCTTCTCACAGGGGCCTCAGAGCTCTGCGGGCAGGGAGGATCGAGGGCCAAGGGACAGAAGGTGTCACTCAAAGCCCAGTCCGGGTCCAGGCAGGAGCAGGCCTGCCACGTGCAGCCAGTGGCCCTGTTCTCTCCAGGCTCCCTGCCTCTGCTGCTCCACCGTCCCTCTGAGGGGCTGTCCTGGCCCCTGTTCTCTTCCACTTCCACGTCCCCCCTCCAACCCTGGCTCAGCCACCTCCCAGGTCTCCCGCCTGGAGCAGGACAGGAACAGTCTGGGGAAGTCCAAGGACAGGACCGTCCCTGATGTCCCCATGTCCGTGCCAGGTGCTCCTGTGCCCACACTGCCCTGCTCCTGTGTCGCTGAGCACCTCCCAGCCACACTGTCCTGTCCCCGTGCCAGCACATGCAGGTGCCATGGTTTGCTGCCCTTTTCAGAGGGGCTGGTCCCATCTCTGGCTAAAACGCCCTGTAAAGGCAGGAGCGAGCCCATGACCGTTTCCTAGACTCTGTGCTCTGTGCTTGGTGCCCCGGGTTGCTTCTCTGAGAGATGGGTTTGCTCTCTTGGAAACTGGCATTTCACTTACCTGAAGAATTGGCCCTCCAGGGATCCACTGACACACGGCACACGGTCATGGACTTGCAGTGGCACGGTTGGCGAGTGTGTCGGTTGGCATAGGCTGCTCCGGTGCTCACTGTGCCCTGGTCGTCGGTGTGGCCGGGCTCCTGGAATAACACCCATTCTTTCTGGTGTTCTTGCTGCTTTGCACGTACCTGTAGCCCCCAACTTCTCTGGTCGGTGCAGCCTTTTACCATCCCCATTTTATGGATGAAGAAATGAGGTGCAGAGATTAAATCACTTGAACTTAACCTGTCGCTCCGTGCCGGGAGTGTGGCGGTTGGCTGCATGTTTAGGAGAGTTTCCAGGAGCTTTTCTTCTTCCCACCTTCTCTCACTCCTCACACCTCCCAAGGAATCCAGGGCTCACCCATGCGGTGGGGGAGGACAAGCTATTGAGGCTTTGCTGGCGCCCAGCTGCAGCTGAAGCACTAATTCTTAGCCCACGGATATGACGTTCCTTCCCCAGGCCGCGAGCTTGGCTTTCTATTCACTGATACTTAACGCAAAAACCCTTTACATCAGGTCCTCTTCAAAAACACTTCCAGTCTCACCAGTAACCGTGTGAAATGCTCCCAGAGCATCCATTCTGGGCCACACACATTTCTCAGCACTTTTCAAACAGGAATGGGTCTAACCTGACGACAGCCCCGTGGGGTAAGGACAGAAACGCAGAGAATGGATTCACCGCCCACATCCCAGGGAGTGGAAGGGCAGAGATGAGTCGTTCCCAGGCGGGTGGCCCCAGGGCCATCACCACGTTACAGACCGCCGGGGAGTGGGGCCAAGGGAAGCTGTCAGGCTGGGCCGCCTCTGAGGCCTGTCAGGGTCCTGTGACTGCCACTGCAAATCGCCGCCACCATGACAGCTTGAAAGAGCAGAAATTTATTTTCTCACTGCTGTGAGGCAGGGCCCATGCGCCCAGATGTCAGCCTGGCTGCGCCGTGCAACGGCTGTCGGGAAGATTCCTTCCTCCCCTCTCCCGGCTTCTGTGGCCGCAGGTGTGGCATATGTCGTGGCCACATCCCTCCAGTCCCAGCCTCTCCTCACCTTCACGAGCCCTCTCTCTGTGTCCCTGCGTCTTCCCTTCCAGCCTGTCCAGGGTCCCCCCTCATCCAGGATGAGGCTCACTCCCTTCATCACATCTGCAAATATCCTCACTCCAGATTAGGTCTACACTGGGTTCTGGTGCAGGTGTCTCGGGGAGCACCATGGAGCCCACGGCAGCCATTATTCCATGCCACTTGTCCAGAGTGGAAGCCAGGCCCAGCGAGTTGAGATGAGGGGTCAGAGGCATTGGAATCTCAGGCGTGCCGCCTAAGTGTGCCCTCCCCCGCTGGCAGGTGAATGGCGTGGACATGAAGCTGCCCGTGGAGCTGGCCGAGGGCCGGATTCGTGCTTTCAAGCACGGCAAGGACGCGGTGATCCAGACCGACTTTGGTCTGCGTGTGGCCTACGACCTCGTGTACAATGTGCGGGTCACGGTGCCAGGCAACTACTACGAGCAGATGTGTGGCTTGTGCGGAGACTACAACGGCGACTCCAAGGATGACTTCCAGAAGCCCGACGGCTCGCAGGCAGGCAACCCCAACGACTTTGGCAACTCTTGGGAGGAGAAGGTGCCAGGCTCACCCTGCCTGTCGCCGCCCCCCTGCGAGGACTGCGGGCCAGTTTGCACCCCTGAGCAGGAGCAGCAGTACCAGCAGGAGAAGTTCTGTGGCTTCCTCACCAAGCCCACTGGGCCGCTGGCCGCCTGCCACAAACTGCTCAGCCCCCAGGGTGCCCTGAAGGACTGCATCTTCGACCTGTGCGTGAGCGGCGGGAACCTGAGCATCCTCTGCTCGAGCATCGAGGCCTATGTGAGCGCCTGCCAGGCAGCCGGAGGCCATGTGGAGCCCTGGAGGACCGAATCTTTCTGCCGTGAGTGCGGGTTCAGGAGGAGCAAAGCCAGGGGCAGACAGGGAGGTGGGGCTGGGCAAAGGGCAGGCTGTGACAGGGAAGCAGGGAACACGGGGTGTTGGGACCGCTCTCCACGGGCGCTGACGGGCACGCTCTCTCTGCAGCAATGAAGTGCCCCCCCAACAGCCACTATGAGGTCTGCGCGGACACCTGCTCCCTGAGCTGCTCGGCCCTCGGCACCCCCCAGAACTGCCCCGAAGGCTGTGCTGAGGGCTGCCAGTGCGACCCTGGCTTCCTCAACAGCGGCGAGGCCTGTGTGCCCATGGAGGAGTGCGGCTGCTATCACAACGGCGTCTACTACGAGGTAGTGGGATCCCGGCATCCCGGGCAGAGTCCAGGCCTCAGCCCCAGCCCGTCCCTTAGTGTTCGCGCTGGGAATGGAGAAACAACCCTGAGCATCTGCTCCAGAGCCTTTGCCCTTACTCCCTCTTGGAATCTCTCCTGCAGCAGAGGCTCAGGGGAGAGTTTGCAATAAATGAGTGCGTGAGTGAGGGAGTGAGGGAGCCAGTGAGTGATAGCGAAGCTATGCAGCCCCTTTGTTTCTCAGACATGGCATTGCCTTGCTGAATAGGTGGGTTTCATGTGCTTGGGTCCTGCTCTGTGCACAGCAGCAGCGATGGCAGTGTAGCACCCACCTGACGCCCGCACCCTGTGTCCCCACAGCCAGACGAGTCGGTGCTTCTTGACAATTGCCAGCAGCACTGCGTGTGCCACGCTGGCAAAGGCATGGTGTGCAAGGAGCACAGCTGCAAGCCTGAGGAGGAGTGCCGCGCCCAGAACGGCCTCTTGGGTTGCTACCCCAACAGCCTTGGGAGTTGCCAGGCATCCGGGGACCCACACTACTTGACCTTCGACGGCCGGCGCTTTGACTTCATGGGCACCTGCACATACCTGCTGACCGGCACGTGCGGTCCGACTGGGATGCTGCCCGCCTTCCGGGTGCTGGTGCAAAATGAGCATCGGGGCAGCCAGACCGTGAGCTACACGCGTGCCGTGCGCGTGGAGGCCCGCGGCGTGAAGGTGGAAGTGCGCAGGGAGTACCCCGGGAGAGTGCTGGTGAGTGATGCCCCTGGCACAGTGGAGGTAGGACAGACCCTGAGACTTGGGAGGGCCTCTGGGTTAGGGTGGGGCTGGACGGGAGGCAATTCTGTGGTCAGTGTAGGAACGGGCCCCCGCCTAGCAGGACCCCTCCCCTGGGCCTGTGACTTTGTCTCTCTGGCCTAAGTCTTGTCCTCCATCAGACGGGCCAATCCAATACCACACCCAGGGGTGTCAAAATCAGGGTACCGCAGGGATTTAACCAGTTAATATTGGCCCCTGTGTAGAAGGGCCCTTGCCACCCAGGAAATTTTCAGTCAATGTTGACTTCACATTGTTAGGTATGAACCCCCGCAAGTTGTAGTCTGGGCCTATTCTGGAAGATAATGACTTTTGGACAGTAAGGTGACAGGTGAAATGTAGGCAAATAGAGGTATGCGTGTGAGTTGTGTGTGTGTGTGTGTTTGGGGTTCACAGAGTCTCCCAACTACGCCAGGGAATGGAGACTACCAGATGGGCACCCCCCTGGGCACGTTTCCGTGTGAACGTCCTTTGAAGGTCCTTACTCAGCAAAAGTGCAGAACCACCGATTTTTCTTTTCAAATGACGAAAATCATGCAGCTAAGGAGTAGCAGAATCTGAAGCCAGGCTGTCTGCCTCCAGAGTGTATACTCTTTTTTTCAGAAGATTTTCTTTATTTATGCATACAAAACTGGGGACGAGGCCATAGGTGCGGGGGTAGGCAGGGAATGGACTCACCAGAGACAGAGTGGGGAGCAAAAGAAGCAGACTGCCTGAAATACACTGTTGGGGGAACAGCGAGAGCGACGGGAGTGGTCTGCTGTGCCACGTGGGTCAGCTCCATGACTCCTGAAGGGAGAAGGGACAGCAGCCAGATGAAAAGTGGTAGGTGGTCTTCTTGGCACAGTGAAAAGACCTGGATGCCAGATTCAACTGGGAGAGTTAGAGAAATATCAGGAAAGCCAGGGTGACAGGAAAGATGACAGATGGGGAATGGGGTATAACTGAGGTCAGGGAGGTGATGTTCGGTGCAGAATTAGCATGATACCTGAAGGATGACAGGAGGTGCACTCTGTGCCAGGCAGAGGGAGCAGCCTGAGCAGTGGCCCTGAGCTGGGGCCTAGCATAAGGGACCTTGAGTACACTGACCTCTGTGGACCCCAATCTCTTCCCAGGTGGATGGTGTCCTTCAATACCTGCCCTTCCAGGCGGCAGATGGGCAAGTGCAGGTGTACCGCCAGGGCCAAGACGCCGTCGTGCGCACGGACTTTGGCCTGATAGTCACCTACGACTGGAACACCCGAGTGACTGCCAAGGTGCCGAGCAGCTATGCCGGCATGCTGTGTGGGCTCTGCGGAAACTTCAATGGGCGCACGGAAGACGACCTGGAGCTGCGCGGAGGAGGCCAGGCTGCCAATGCGCTGGCCTTTGGAAACAGCTGGCAGGAGGAGACAAGTCCAGGCTGCGGAGCGAACCCACCAGGAGACTGTCCCCAGCTGGACTCCATGGTGGAGGAGCAGCTGCAGAGCAAGAAAGAGTGTGGCATCATCGCCGACCCAGACGGTCCCTTCAAGAAGTGCCACTCCAAACTGGAGCCAGAGGGCTTCCTGCGTGACTGCGTCTACGACCGCTGCCTGCTGCCCGGCCAGCCCGGGTCTCTATGTGACGCCTTAGCTGACTACACGGCCGCCTGCCAGGCCGCCGGGGCCACCGTGGAGCCCTGGAGGACCGAGGAATTTTGCCGTGAGTATCGCGAGGGCCCTGGTGTTGGGAGCGGTAGGGGGGCACTCAGCCTGTTGCCTATTCATGAACGTGTCCTATCATGAGGTCATCATCCTTCTAACGGCCCTAGGAGGTTGGCGGTGTGGGTAAAGCCATTGACGGGCAGGAACCCAAGGTTCTGAAAGCTTCAGCTCCGTGCCAGGGACCATGGCCGCAGGGCAGTCGCAGGTGCAGGGAATCTTCGTAAAATGACCTTTAGATCTGGGGACCCCATTTGATTCCCCCATAGTGGGAGGGCCATCAGCAATCACCACCGACCCTGCACACTTCTTAACCCTAAGGGGGTGCATATATGGACATTGAATTGCTGTAGAAATTCCGGAGCCTCTAAATCCCTAAGTGTTCAAAACAAACAAGGTTGTTGTGAGTTATCGTTGCGGGAGCCTTAGTAGTGATCACACTATTAAACATCCCAGGAGCATCATGGGAAGGGCTGTCTAGTGAGACAATGGGCCTCCCCCTCCCGCTCTCATGTGTTGCTAGAGGAGACAGGGCGTCGTCCCCGTCGTCCTGGTTTTCACTCTTGTAGATGTGACGTGAGCAAGTGGGTGGCAGTGGAGGGCCCTTCTCTGGCCCCTGTGAGCGGAGGGCGGCACCACATAGGGAGACCCCATGACACCCACCTCTTTGGGCCTCCCGGCCTCTGATTCTCTTAGTCTCTCCACCACTGGAGAGGAGCAGAGTGGAGGAGTGGCTGCGGCGTGCTGATGCGTCCATCTCCCGCAGTGCGAGCACTGAGAAGTGGTGCCCCATGGCCCTGGCGGGGTCCCCCTCAGGGGAGGTCACCGCCTTGAGAGGCGAGTGGCCGGGGCCGGGTGTTCTCTGCTAAGTGGAGAAGCACCTTCACAGGGGAGTCTTTTCCGCCCACCACAAGCCCTTTCCTGGTCGGGAAGACACCTGGGCTCACAGCTGACCCCGCAGGCTTCTCCCCAACCCCAGGCAGCTCTGTGCTCATGGCCTCTCAGTCCTCGCTTCATCCTCTCAGCCCCCTGCTCTGTCATCTTGCTCTTTGACACTCTGCGGACATGTTAAGAGTGAGATACTAATGTATGTGAGGAAACATGTTAAAGAGAAAGTAGCACAGGGATATTAAGTAAGTGGCCCGAGGTCACAGAGCAGCAGGACAGGTGGGTGCACCCAGGCAGACGCCCCGAATTTGTACTATTGAAGACACCTTGCTCAGGCCTCTGTGCACATTGAGAATCTCTGTTTCCCTCCCGCGAGTCTTGCCCTTGTACCCTGGTAGCTCTAGAAGGCCGTGTTGTTAGAACTTGGGCAAGAGGCAGAGGGGAGCTCAGGCAGGCCCCACACCCCAATACCCACAATACCCAGCACCAACTTCCACAGTTACTGCATTCTGGCCAGTCCTGGGCCCTCCTCCCCTTTTTTCCATCACTTCCTGGTGGCTTTTCTTGTTTTCATGGATGTTTTAAAGGAAACTTTAGTTTGCATTTCTCCACACTTACTCTTTTTCTTATGCAAAACGGATCAGATTTCCCCCTGTATAGTCCCAGTTCCCCAAACTTGGATGCATGTCCTGCCCCCTCCCGATCCCCACAGATGTCTCCCTCACCTAGCAGGGACTGCTGTTTGAACTTCCTCTGCTCTGTCACTTCCCGCGTGTGCGTTTCCTGTGCTCTGCACACATGTGACACTGTTTCACATTTGTGTTATCCTCCTGGCTTCACTGCTCCCAGTCCCCGGAGTTCCCGGATCAGGCCCCAAATGGTGACACTTCCTCACCTTAGACAGAAACGTCTTTGGTGCAGTGGACGGGCGCAGCCTCCTGACCAGTCCTCCATAGGCGCAAGGTCGCCGTGCTCAGATACCAGCTATGTGTTTTAATGTCCAACCGTGTTCCTGCTGTAGAGCGGGGCAGCTGAGACTGTTGCATTCACACTCATACTACACACACACACGCATGCTCTACCTGCACACGTTTGTGTCATACATGTCCCAGCTTTCAAAGGCTGCTACCAGCTGGAGCCTTCACTGAGGACACTGTTCCCAAACCACAGTTAATTGTGGGAGCCCCTCCGTTCTCAGCATCAGGTCACTGTGGTGTCTTCTGTTGCCCAAGCTGGGCTGAGCTCACCCTGCTCAGCCCTGCCTGTGCGGCGTGTGAGGGAGCCGGGCGTGGGGTCCCGGTGTGACCCTGGGGAGCCAGGAAGGCTGACCCTCACGGGCACTCTCCCGCAGCCATGAGCTGCCCTCTCAACAGCAGCTACGAGTTGTGTTCCCACGGCTGCCCACCGTCCTGCGGAGACCTACTAGTGCCCGGGGGCTGCGGCTCCAAATGCCATGAGGACTGCGTGTGTGATGAGGGCTTCGTGCTGAGCGGTGAGTCCTGCGTGCCCCTGGCCTCCTGCGGCTGCGTCCACCAGGGCGCCTACCACCCGCTGGGCGAGAGCTTCTATGAACCAGGCTGCAAGTCGCTGTGCCACTGCCACGAGGGCGGAGTGGTGACCTGCCAGCCCTCCACCTGTGGCCCCCACGAGGCCTGCCAGCCGTCCAACGGCGTCCTGGACTGTGTGCCCGTGGGCTCTGTCACCTGCCAGGCGTCGGGAGACCCCCACTACACCACCTTCGACGGCCGCCGCTTCGACTTCATGGGCCTCTGTGTGTACGTGCTGGCCCAGACCTGCGGGAACCGCACGGGCCTGCACCGATTCACCGTCCTGCAGGAGAACGAGCGCTACAGCAGCCGTGCCAGCGTCACCAAGGCCATCACTGTGCTGGTGGATAACTACAGCCTGCGGCTGGAGCAGCGGAAGTGGAAGGTCACGGTGAGAGCAGGGGAGGGCCACGAGGAGCGGGGAGGTAGTGGGTGGTGTGTGGGTGCGGCGGCACCATCTGGCCTTCTCACAGGGGCCTCAGAGCTCTGCGGGCAGGGAGGATCGAGGGCCAAGGGACAGAAGGTGTCACTCAAAGCCCAGTCCGGGTCCAGGCAGGAGCAGGCCTGCCACGTGCAGCCAGTGGCCCTGTTCTCCCCAGGCTCCCTGCCTCTGCTGCTCTACCATCCCTCTGAGGGGCTGTCCTGGCCCCTGTTCTCTTCCACTCCCACGTCCCATCTCTGACCCTGGCTCAGCCACCTCCCAGGTCTCCCGCCTGGAGCAGGACAGGAACAGGACCAGGAACAGGCTGCGGAAGTCCAAGGACCACACCGTCCCTGGTGTCGCCATGTCTGCGCCAGCTGCTCCTCTGCCCACACTGCCCTGCCCCTCGTGTCGCTGAGCACCTCCCTGCCACACTGTCCTGTCCCCCGTACAAGCATATGCAGGTGCCATAGTTTGCGGCCTTTTCAGAGCGGCTGGTCCCATCTCTGACCAAAGCCCCATGTAAAGGCAGGAGCGAGCCCGTGACCGTGTCCTAGACTCTGTGCTCCGGGCTTGGTGCTCCGGGGCGCTTCTGTGAGAGAAGGGTTTGCTCTCTTGGAAACTGGCATTTCACTTACCTGGAGGGATGGCCCCCCAGGGATCCACTGACACACAGGCACACGGTCATGGACTTGCACTGGCATGGATGGCGAGGGCGCCGGTGGGCAGAGGCTGCTCCGGTGCTCACTGTGCCCTGGTCGTCGGTGTGGCCGGGCTCCTGGAATAACACCCATTCTTTCTGGTGTTCTTGCTGCTTTGCACGTACCTGTAGCCCCCAACTTCTCTGGTCGGTGCAGCCTTTTACCATCCCCATTTTATGGATGAAGAAATGAGGTGCAGAGATTAAATCACTTGAACTTAACCTGTCGCTCCGTGCCGGGAGTGTGGCGGTTGGTTGTGTGTTTAGGAGAGTTTCCAGGAGCTTGTCTTCCTCCCACCTTCTCTCACTCCTCACGCCTCCCAAGGAATCCAGGGCTCACCCATGCGGTGGGGGAGGACAAGCTATTGAGGCTTTGCTGGCGCCCAGCTGCAGCTGAAGCACTAATTCTTAGCCCACGGATATGACGTTCCTTCCCCAGGCCGCGAGCTTGGCTTTCTATTCACTGATACTTAACGCAAAAACCCTTTACATCAGGTCCTCTTCAAAAACACTTCCAGTCTTACCAGTAACCGTGTGAAATGCTCCCAGAGCATCCATTCTGGGCCACACACATTTCTCAGCACTTTTCAAACAGGAATGGGTCTAACCTGACGACAGCCCCGTGGGGTAAGGACAGAAACGCAGAGAATGGATTCACCGCCCACATCCCAGGGAGTGGAAGGGCAGAGATGAGTCGTTCCCAGGCGGGTGGCCATGGGCCATCACCACGTTACAGACCGCCGGGGAGTGGGGCCAAGGGAAGCTGTCAGGCTGGGCCGCCTCTGAGGCCTGTCAGGGTCCTGTGACTGCCACTGCAAATCGCCGCCACCATGACAGCTTGAAAGAGCAGAAATTTATTTTCTCACTGCTGTGAGGCAGGGCCCATGCGCCCAGATGTCAGCCTGGCTGCACCGTGCAATGGCTGTCGGGAAGATTCCTTCCTCCCCTCTCCCGGCTTCTGTGGCCGCAGGTGTGGCATATGTCTTGGCCACATCCCTCCAGTCCCAGCCTCTCCTCACCTTCACGAGTCCTCTATGTCCCTGCGTCTTCCCTTCCAGCCTGTCCAGGGAGCCTCGTCCCTGGTTGTGGTGTCCCCCCTCATCCAGGATGAGGCTCACTCCCTTCATCACATTTGCAAATATCCTCACTCCAGATCAGGTGCTACCCTGGGTTCTGGTGCAGGTGTCTCGGGGAGCACCATGGAGCCCACGGCAGCCATTATTCCATGCCACTTGTCCAGAGTGGAAGCCAGACCCGGCGAGTTGAGATGAGGGGTCAGAGGCATTGGACTCTCAGGCGTGCCGCCTAAGTGTGCCCTCCCCCGTTGGCAGGTGAATGGCGTGGACATGAAGCTGCCCGTGGAGCTGGCCGAGGGCCGGATTCGTGCTTTCAAGCACGGCAAGGACGCGGTGATCCAGACCGACTTTGGTCTGCGTGTGGCCTACGACCTCGTGTACAATGTGCGGGTCACGGTGCCAGGCAACTACTACGAGCAGATGTGTGGCTTGTGCGGAGACTACAACGGCGACTCCAAGGATGACTTCCAGAAGCCCGACGGCTCGCAGGCAGGCAACCCCAACGACTTTGGCAACTCTTGGGAGGAGAAGGTGCCAGGCTCACCCTGCCTGTCGCCGCCCCCCTGCGAGGACTGCGGGCCAGTTTGCACCCCTGAGCAGGAGCAGCAGTACCAGCAGGAGAAGTTCTGTGGCTTCCTCACCAAGCCCACTGGGCCGCTGGCCGCCTGCCACAAACTGCTCAGCCCCCAGGGTGCCCTGAAGGACTGCATCTTCGACCTGTGCGTGAGCGGCGGGAACCTGAGCATCCTCTGCTCGAGCATCGAGGCCTATGTGAGCGCCTGCCAGGCGGCCGGAGGCCATGTGGAGCCCTGGAGGACCGAATCTTTCTGCCGTGAGTGCGGGTTCAGGAGGAGCAAAGCCAGGGGCAGACAGGGAGGTGGGGCCGGGCAGAGGGCAGACTGTGACAGGGAAGCGGGGGACCCGGGGTATTGGGACTGCTCTCCACGGGCGCTGACGGGCACGCCCTCTCTGCAGCAATGAAGTGCCCCCCCAACAGCCACTATGAGGTCTGCGCGGACACCTGCTCCCTGAGCTGCTCGGCCCTCGGCACCCCCCAGAACTGCCCCGAACGCTGTGCTGAGGGCTGCCAGTGCGACCCTGGCTTCCTCAACAGCGGCGAGGCCTGTGTGCCCATGGAGGAGTGCGGCTGCTATCACAACGGTGTCTACTACGAGGTAGTGGGATCCTGGCATCCCGGGCAGAGTCCAGGCCTCAGCCCCTGCCAGCCCCTTAGTGTTAGTGCTGGGAATGGAGAAACAACCCTGAGCATCTGCTCCAGAGCCTTTGCCCTTACTCCCTCTTGGAATCTCTCCTGCAGCAGAGGCTCAGGGGAGAGTTTGCAATAATTGAGTCTGTGAGTGAGTGAATGAGGGAGTGAGTGAGTGACTGATTGCAAAGCTATGCTGCCCCTTAGATTCTCAGATGGTGTTTCACTGCTGAATACATGGGTTTCAAGTGCTCTGGGTCCTGCTCTCTGCACAGCAGCAGCGATGGCAGAGTAGCACCCACCTGACGCCCGCACCCTGTGTCCCCACAGCCAGACGAGTCAGTGCTTCTTGACAACTGCCATCAGCAGTGCGTGTGCCGCTCCGGGAAAGGCATGGTGTGCAAGGAGCACAGCTGCAAGCCTGAGGAGGAGTGCCAGCCCTCTGGAGGCATCCTGAGCTGCATCAAGAAAGGTACTGGCCTGGGGCCGGGGCTTGTGCATTGTTAAGAAAGGACATGGACTTGGCACTAGGGCACTGAGGGTGGAGCTGTTAGGACCTTTGTGGTGGAGGGAGAGAGGACTTGGATTTGGGATCTTAGACCTTGGGCCCCAGACTGGGATTCCCATGCCAAACAAAGGGACCTCATACAATGTGCGCGTCTCGGCGCCAGGCAATTATGAGCAGATGTGTGGCTTGGGTATCCGATATCCTTAGGGTGGAATGCAGAGTGAGGACCCTTGGGATAGTTTTCCTAGGGTGTCAGATTAGGCAGCAACAGGCAACCTTTTTCTCTAAAGGTCCACGCTGTAAATATTGAAACTTAGAGACTACATGGTCTCACTCACCTCACCACCGCGTCATGAAGAGCATCGTAGTCAATTAAGTTCGGTGGTTTGACTCCAGTAAAACTTTGTTTACAGAAGCAGGCAGGTGTAGCGCCATAGTCTGCTGACCACTGGTGCACTAGGTGCTGGCCTTCAGACACCATCCCCTAGTGAAGGGGAGCTAGAGCTCCCACGTCTGGGATGGAAAGCAGAGTCCTGAGGTCTCGGGCAAAGAACCCACAAAAGCTGGAGTCATGGATGCAGGGTCTCAAGCACAGTAGCCCTGGGTGGCAGGACTCCATGGTGGGAACTCCAGGTTGTGAGCTTAGGTCCAGGGTCCCAGTGTCAGGGTCTCATATGTTGGGTCCTCTGGGGTGAGATGCTCCCCAGAAAGTCCTTCCAGTCCTTTGGTTGCGATCTCCAGGATTTCAAATGTATTGGCCTTAGTAGCTGGAGCTCAGGTGTGGGGGATTCTGGGGCCCAAGTCTTGAACACACAGAACCCTTGATCCAGGGATGCCCTCTTGGGGTGCTGTCAAGACTGGCTTTGTGGACACAGGGGCTTCTGGGACTCTAGTCTCAGTTCTGGGTCCCCTGAAGCTAAGCTCTCAGCAAGGGGCTATCCCAGCATGGGACTTGGATATAGCGACCGTAGACCTGGGTCTTGGCTGTAGAGACCTCGGTCTCAGACCTCAAAGTGCTGGGCCTGGGTCTTTGATGTGAAACCCCTAAGATCTGGTCTCACCTGGGCTATCCTCAGAGCCAGCGTTCCTGGCATGATGAGGGGAGGTGTTGGGCAGCCTCTGAAAGACCTCTCTTCTGCCCCCAGACCCCTGCCAGGATGTGATATGTAGGCCACAGGAGACGTGCAAGGAGAAAGATGGCGAGGGTGTGTGCGTGCCCAACTACGAGGACACCTGCTGGCTGTGGGGCGACCCACACTACCATTCCTTCGACGGCCGGGACTTCGACTTCCAGGGCACCTGTGACTACGTGCTGGCGACAACTGCCTGTCCAGGAGTCAGCGCCCAGGACCTGATACCCTTCACTGTCACCACCAAGAATGAAAACCGGGGCAACCCTGCCGTGTCCTATGTGAGGCGAGTCACCGTGACCACACTGGGCGTCAACATCTCCATCCACAAAGACGAAATTGGCAAAGTCCGGGTAAGCCCGTTGGCCCCACCCCTACATTAGGGCAGAAGGGCTCTGCTGGCCACAGGGAGGTGCCCAAGGCGCGCTCCCCTCACCCAGCCTAGAACTAAATGGCAGCAAAAGCAACTGTTACAGCAAAAACCTGACCCTTTTGCTTTGAATTAAGGAAGCCTGGCCTTTTGCTCAGAGCTGACTAATGTAGGATGTCAGCTCTTGCCTTTTTAGAGAACTGAGTTTGAATCCAGGCATTCTTTATGGGCTGGCTGAAGTTGGGCAAGTGAAGGCGGGCCTGGCTGTGAGCTGGGGGTCAGAGCAGGCCCCGCCCCTCTGTGAGGTGCTACCTGTAAAGTATAAAGCACGCAGCTGAGGGTCAGGTCCATCGTGAATGTTTGCAAGGCCCAGAGACTCTAATGTAGAACTACATTGGGGTGGATGTGCAGGGGTGGAGCCGGGAGGAGGAGAGAGGATGGGAAGATGGGGATCAAGCCCCAGGGTGGGGAAAAAGCCACATGAGCTTTCACTCTCCAGAGAGCAGCTAGACTTGAGCAGATTCTGTAATGGCTGCCAGATGACCATGTGTCTGGTTGTGAGGAAGGCCTTGGCAGCGCCAGCCATGGTAGGTGAGGGAGGTGAGGTGAGCTGGGCCCCTCACACCTTTAGTCACCTCTGTTTGTCTCCATTCCTTCCTTCCCCCAGGTCAACGGCGTGCAGACAGCTTTGCCCGTCTCCGCGGCTGGCGGGCGCATTTCAGTGACCCATGGCTCATCCAAAGCAGTGCTGGTGACCGACTTCGGGCTGCGCGTCAGCTATGACTGGAATTGGCGCGTGGAGGTGACTCTGCCCAGCAGCTATCATGGCGCCGTGTGCGGGCTCTGTGGGAACATGGACCGCAACGCCAGCAATGACCACGCCTTCCCCAATGGCACCCTGGCTCCCTCCATCCCCGCCTGGGGCGGCAGCTGGAGAGTGCCAGGCTGGGACCCACTGTGCTGGGACGAGTGCCAGGGGTCCTGCCCAACATGTTCTGGGGACCAGCTGGAGGAGTACGGGGGCCCGGCCTACTGTGGCCCCCTGGCCTCTGGTGCCGGAGGCCCCTTCGCTGCCTGCCATGCCCATGTGCCCCCCGACAGCTTCTTCGAGGGCTGCGTTCTGGATGTCTGCATGGGAGGCGGGGCCCACGATATACTTTGCAAGGCCCTGGCTGCCTATGCTGCCACCTGCCAGGCCGCAGGCATTGTCATCGAGGACTGGCGGTTGCAGGCAGGCTGTGGTGAGTGTGGGGGGAACAAAGCCAGTGCTGGGCTGGGGTTCGGAGCGGGGGGGTCTTGTCGCTCCAGGACTGGCCTTCTGCATCTCTTTCTTTCTGTCTCTTCCTGTCTTTGCTCCGTAGCACCCTTTGACGCTCTCTCTCCGTGTTTCTACATTTGGGTCTTCTTTGTCTCGCGCTTTCTCTCTGTACCCTTCTTCGTGTCTGTTTCCTGCTCTGTCTCACTTTCTGTCCTTCGTATCTCTCTGCCTCCTCCACCCTGTACTCAGATCCCACCTCCTGATATTTTGTCTCTTTCTCTCCCTCCCGCCCCTTTATCCTCCCACAGAGCTCCCCTGCCCCAGCAACAGCCACTATGAGCTCTGTGGCCCAGTCTGTCCAGCCAGCTGCCCGTCCCCTGCGCCCCCCACCACCCCAGCCTTCTGTGAGGGCCCCTGCGCCGAGGGATGCCAGTGTGACCCGGGTTTCGTGTTGAGTATCGACCACTGCGTTCCCCTGGACGGCGGCTGCGGCTGCTGGGCCAACGGCACCTACCATGAAGCAGGCAGCGAGTTTTGGTCTGATGGCACCTGCTCCCAGCTGTGCCGCTGTGGTCCCGGGGGTGGCTCGGTGGACTGCACACCTGCCAGCTGTGGGCTAGGTGAAGAGTGTACTCTGCTGCCATCAGGCCAGTTTGGCTGCCACCCGATCAGCACGGCTGAGTGTCAGGCCTGGGGTGACCCACATTACGTCACCCTGGATGGGCACCGATTCGACTTCCAAGGCACCTGCGAATACCTGTTGAGTGGGGTCTGTGGTGAGCTACCCAACGGGGTTGAGCATTTCACCGTGACCGTTGCCAATGAGCACCGGGGCAGCCAGGCCGTCAGCTATACTCGCAGTGTCACCCTGTCCATCTACAACCACAACCTGACGCTCAGTGCCCAGTGGCCCCGGAAACTGCAGGTGAGGCCGCTGTGGGTCAGACAGCACCTGCCAGCACTGGGGTGGTGTGGGAAAGCTAAGAGTCTGACATCCTCCTGATTACCTTTTGCAGGTTAGCAGGGGTTCCAAGTACACATCTTGGAGCCAAGGGCTTAGAGCAGTGACTTTCCCATCTATGAGCCTTAGTTTATTCTGTAAAATGGGTCTGAGTGAAGAACCTGCTATGTGTTTTTTATTATGACAGCGGCTCCTATATTACTGCAGCTCTGAGGGAGGTTCAGGGTTACACCCAAGTGGACAGGTAGTGGAGCCAGAACTGGAAAGAGCAGCTGTACCATTTACTACCCACACTTCCCACGCTCACAGGTGGACGGCGAGCTCGTGTCGCTGCCCTTCCAGCTGGACTCGCGCCTGCATGCCTATGTGAGCGGCGCCAACGTGGTGGTCACAGCAGCCAATGGGCTCTCCTTGGCTTTTGACGGGAACAACTTCGTGCGCCTGCGCGTCCCAGCGGTGTACGCGGGTGCCCTGTGTGGCCTGTGCGGGAACTACAACCAGGACTCCTCAGATGATCCTGAGGCGGTGGGCAAAGACCCTGGCCGCTGGCAGGTGGGCGGCGCCCCTGGCTGTGGGGAGTGTGTGCCGGGGCCTTGCCCTTCGCAGTGCACGCCCGAGGAACAGGAGCAGTTCGGTGGCCCTGACGCCTGTGGCATCATCTCGGCCCCCGACGGTCCACTAGCACCCTGCCACACCCTTGTGCCACCGGAGCAGTACTTCCAGGCCTGCCTCCTAGACGCCTGCCAGGTTCAGGGTCATCCAGGAGGCCTCTGCCCAGCCGTGGCCGCCTATGTGGCCGCCTGTCAGGCCGCTGGGGCCCAGATCGAGGAGTGGAGGAGACCAGACTTCTGTCGTGAGTACTGAGCCATGTGTGAACCACTTAGTGAGAGCCTCTCCTCGCAGACATTTTTCTTCCCCAGTAGGGCTGAGGGACCACCCCACCTTCCAGGAGCCAGCTAGCTCCTGTCAGAGAAACCCCTCCACATTCACACACGAAAATCCCCCAGATTACATACTGCAGTGGAAGACACTTCGTTTGATAGAGCTGGTCTGAATGCCCGGGTCCAATCCAGACTCGGACTCACGAGCTCAGACTTCTCAGTTGGACTGGGGTGACTGACCTGAAAAGTTACGCAGACACTACACCTACGATGCCCCTAGACTGTTTCAAGCATAGGGTCAGATAGAATGAGTCCTGTAACCTCGGACAGGGACCCCTGTGGTTGGAGATGGTCCAGATTTACAGAGACACACCTGGGCAGATATACCCAGGTAGAGTCAGGACCCTGACGTCACCCCAGAGCAGGTGCTGATTCCTGGTCAGACAGTTCTGGTCACTTCTCCTCAGGCCAATTTCTTGATTCATCCTTCAGCTTCACATACTCAGAGTCCGCACACTATATGGGCCCTGCCAGGTGCGTTCACACCACAGTGACATTCACACCCCTCAGCTGGTTCGAACGCTGCATATTTGGTCAGGGAGACCTGTTCAGATTCACTTTTTAGAAATACTCGGTCAGGTTGACACAAAACCTGGTTCGAAACCTGGTGCCCAGATCTCTCACACAGCACCCCATCAGATGTGCTGGATCAGACACCCCACTCAGATCCTCCGATAGATTCACTCATGAAATGTGCTGAGCCAGAGACCCGCAGCTTCGCCCACTCTGGTTTGCTCACTCTCCTGCCCCCTGCCCTGCGCCTGACCGGCCCACTCCCCTCTTGTCCCCACAGCCCTCCAGTGCCCTGCCAACAGCCACTACGAGCTGTGCGGTGACTCCTGCCCTGTGAGCTGCCCCAGCCTGTCGGTGCCTGAAGGCTGTGAGTCCGTCTGCCAGGAGGGCTGCGTCTGTGATGCTGGCTTCGTGCTCAGTGGGGACACCTGCGTGCCAGTGGGTCAGTGTGGCTGCCTCCACGAAGGCCGCTACTACCCGCAGGGCGAGATCTTCTACCCAGGCCCCGAGTGCGGGCGGCGCTGTGAGTGCGGGCCCGGCGGCCAGGTCAACTGCCAGGAGGGCACCGACTGCGGGCCCTATGAAGAGTGCCGGGTCCAGGACGGCGTCCAGGCCTGTCACGCCACCGGCTGTGGCCGCTGCCTGGCCAATGGGGGCATCCACTATGTCACCCTCGATGGGCGTGTCTATGACCTGCACGGCACCTGCTCCTATGTCTTGGCCCAAGTCTGCCACCCACAGCCCGGGGACGAAGACTTTAGCATTGTGCTTGAGAAGGACACAGCTGGAAAGCCCCAGCGCCTGCTGGTGACGGTGGCTGACCAGGTGGTGAGCCTGGCTCCAGGACCGCTGGTAAGTGGGCACGGTGCTGCCTTGGAAGTGTGAGGGGAACGCAATCTGCCCTGGGGACTCCGAGGGGGGTTTTGGGAGAGAGATGACTAAACAACAGGAACTGAGGGGGAACACCATTCTGGGAAGTCCGTGGGGGATGTGGCCCAGCTTAGGGAGCTGAGGCACACGTGATTCTGCCCCAAGGAGGCCAGAAGGGACACGGCTCCACCCTGGAATTCTGAAGGGACCGGCTTAAGTGTGGTCTCTGAGTGCCTGACCAGCTGGGTCCTTCCACGCAGGTCACTGTGGATGGCGAGGTGGTGACTCTGCCCGTGTCTATGGGCCACGTGCGGGTGACTGCCGAGGGCCGCAACGTGATTCTGCAGACGACCAAGGGGCTGCGGCTTCTCTTTGACGGCGATGCCCACGTCCTCATGTCCATTCCCAGCCCCTTCCATGGCCGGATGTGTGGCCTCTGTGGGAACTTCAACGGCAACTGGACTGATGACTTTGTCCTGCCCGATGGGTCTGTGGCCCCCAGTGTGGAGGCCTTTGGGGCTGCGTGGAGGACCCCCAGCTCCTCCCAGGGCTGTATCGAGGGCTGTGGGCCCCAGGGCTGCCCCGTGTGCTTGGCAGAGCAGACGGCCCCATTCGAGAGCCTCCAGGCCTGCGGGAAGCTCCGCGACCCCAACGGCCCCTTCTCGGCCTGCCATGAGGTGTTGAGCCCCTCTGAGTACTTCCGCCAATGTGTGTACGATATGTGTGCCCACGAGGGAGACCACGCCTTCCTCTGCAGCAGCCTGGCGGCCTACACAGCAGCCTGCCAGGCGGCCGGCGCAGAAGTGAAGCCCTGGAGAACAGACAGCTTCTGCCGTGAGTGTCTGTGGGCCCCTGGGAGGGCCCCACACCAGTCTCAGGGCAGTCCCTCCCAGCTGCCTGCTCACTGGCCCTTCTTGGACTCTCAGATAACCCAGTCAGGGTGGGTCTGTCTGTTTCCTTGAAACCCAGGGCAAGACCGTGTTCCCTCAGGTTGCCCAGGACATGGCAATGGCCCCTCACACCTCCGGCAGGGCCATGTCTCCTTCACTTTTCTCAGGGTAGGACCTATGTCCAGCTCTGCCATCCACCCCAGGGCCTAGGGTCTGTGCTCAGTGATGAGCGTGGACTCCGTCTCCAGCCTTGGCCTCTCTCCTGAGTGCCAGCCTCGGGACCGGGGGCCTCTGGACCTTTCCCTCAGGTCCTGAGGATCCTTCTCAGCTGCTGGGTCTCCATATGACATCAGCATTTAACCCCAGATCTGATCCTCCTCTTCCCCATCATCTCTGGACAGTAACCCCACCCATCACTTGCTCAGCCCCAAGCCTCACCCTGGATGCCTCCCCCAGGTCCTGACTTCCCCTCCCCCAACCCTGTCCATTCTATCCCCACTCAGCCCTGATCACACTCAGCTGCCCTGGCCACTCTGGGCTGGGTGTGGGTAGACCTAGGTCAGTGGTCCACAGTCCCGCCAGCGTGACGCCAGCGCCTCTCTCTCCGCAGCACTCCGCTGCCCCGCCAACAGCCACTATTCCGTCTGCATGCACTCCTGCCAGGACTCTTGCGCAGGGCTCTCGGGCCTCACGGGCTGCACCACCCGGTGCTTTGAAGGCTGTGATTGTGACGAAGGCTTCCTGCTCTCCCAGGGCATCTGCATCCCCACTCGAGACTGCGGGTGCACCCATGATGGCCGATACTTGCCGGTGAGCAGGCTTTGAGGTGGACAGGGAGGGTGGAGGAGCGTGAGGGAGACCCAGAGCTTCTGTGCCTCAAGCATGGGGACAGAGGAGCCACACCAGTTTGCAGCCGTGTGGCTGAAGACTGGTGACGACCCAGCATGTGGCTCCTGTGAACAAATGATCGTAAGGTCAGTGCCTGAAAGCAAGAGAAATTTGTTCTCCCGTAGTCACAAATTCTCGGAAGACTTGGCTCACTTCTGACTCTGTCCCTCCAGAGACTGAATCAGGTCCCACAGGATAAGGACTCAGTCTTCTAAGACAGCCTCCGCCTCGGGTGCTGGGGGTAAGCCCCAGGCGTTGGCTCTGCCTCTTCTAAAGCCAGAGCTTCCCCAGACCCCTCCTCAGGCTTCGTGTACCCCACGCGAGTCCGATAATCTGTGCTTCTGACCGACTGAGTGTCCCTCAGAGGTTCCCAGGCCCCCGCCGCAGGTTTGATTAAGTTGCTGGAAGAGTACACAGGACTCAGGAGTCCCGAGCTCACTGGATCCCCAGTTTATTACAGAGGGTATTAAAGGATATCAATCAACAACCGGAGGAAAGAAATGCACAGCGTAAGGTGGGGGGAAGGAGGGGGCTTCCGTGCCCTCTCCATGTGTGCCGCTCTCCCCAAAATCTTCACATGTTCACCCGCCCAGCTTTCCAAAGCCCCTTCCTCCTGGGCTTCATGACACAGGCACCAGCAACTAAACCTTTGGTCTTAGAGCTTACCCGCTCGCCCTCTCCTCTCCCGGGAATTCAGCGTGACGTGTAAAGTCCTACCCTCTAAGCTTGGGGGGCTTCCCGACAACTCACCCACCCACCCCCTAGGCTACCATTCCAAAAGTTATCCTCGTTTTAACCAGAGACACCTTTAACACTCAACACTTCAGAATTCCCACAGCGGCCTGTGGGATCGCAACAATGGATGAAGACCAAAACGTATGAGGAATGTATTTGGTCATCTGATTGCAGGATCAAACTATGTTTGGTTTTCTTGAGATTTGACGAGATCACCAGGCAGTAACTAGAGAGAGAAGACAAAGGAAGGACTGAGCCCAGGGCACGATTGCGTTGTGGATTTGGGACATGAGGCAGAACTGAAGATGCGGTGAAGAAAGAATAGCTGGTCAGAGGGGAGAAAGTCTCATCCTGGAGTTGGGGCCCCCGGTCCTGGGGTCTGGGCTGTGGGCAGTGGGACTCTGGGGCATCTCTCGTGGCCGGCCCTTCCTGTGTCAGTTATCTGTAGCTCCATTGCGAGCTACACCGAAGCTGAGGGGCTTCGAACAACCATGTGGATCACAATTCTGTGGTGGCAGGTATGGCTGGGCTCCGCCTGGCTGTTCTTCTGCTGTGCCCTGGGCTCTGCCTGCCTCGTGGTGTTCCCCTGAGCGTTGGCTGGTCCCTGACAGCACCAGCCGGCGTGGCTGTCCTTCCTCCAGTCTGTCTTCTGGCTGGCTAGCGCAGACTGTTCTTAGGGTGACTGAACAGGGTTCCAAGAGAAAGGGAGGGAGTACAGGGGGTGGGTGGGTGATTGAGCAAGAGAGAGAAGCTCTTGAGGTCTAGGCTTGAACCTGGCCCAGCACAGCTTCTACTCTGGTTGAATAACTAAATTATAGTCTTTTTTTTTTTTTTTTTAAATATTAAATTTTATTTTTATATTCCCCCATACAATTGCAAACGCCCCATTCTGACCCCAATCCTTCCCCTCCCGCCCCCCACCCCCCAAAAAGTGTCTCTGGTTCATAGTTTTTTGTTGATTTTGATTTTCACTTTCTTATATTCATTTTCCTGGTCCCTTATTTAAGTTTTCTAGATTCCTGCTATGAGTGAGACCATCCGGTATTTTTCTTTTTCTTTTTGGCTTATTTCGCTGAGCATGATCCCTTCCAGTGCCATCCATGTTGCTGCAAATTGCATGTGTTTATCTTTTTTGAATGCTGAGTAATATTCCATGGTATATATGTACCACATCTTCTTGATCCAGTCATCTATTTTTGGGCATTTGGGTTGTTTCCAAAGCTTAGCTATTGTAAACAGTGCTGCTATAAACATAGGAGTGCAGGTGCTCTTTGGAATTGATGTTTCTGTGTCCTTTGGGTAAATACCTAGGAGTGGAATTGCTGGATCATATGGAAGCTCTATGTTTAGTAGGTCCAGAAATCGCCACACAGCTCTCCATAGTGGTTGGACCAGTTTGCACTCCCACCAACAGTGCACAAGAGTTCCTTTTTCTCCACATCCTCGCCAACATTTGTTGTTGCTAGTTTTTTTAATATGTGCCATTCTCACTGGTGTGAGATGGTATCTCATGGTAGTTTTGATTTGCATTTCCCTGATTACAAGTGATGTTGAACATTTTTTCATATGTCTGTTGGCCATTTGCATTTCCTCTTCAGAGAAGTTTCTTTTTAGCTCTTCTGCCCATTTTTTGACTGGATTATTTTCTTTGTTGTTGCTGAGTCTCATCAGCTCTTTGCAGATTTTTGTGATCAGTCCTTTATCATTAGTGTTGGGTGCAAAAATGTTCTCCCAGTTGGTGGGGTTTCTCTTTGTTTTTGTTATTGTCTCTTTTGCTGTGCAGAAGCTCTTTAATTTGATGTAGTCCCAGCTGTTTATCTTTCTCTTCACTATCACTGCTTTGGGTGATGTGTCTGTAAAGATGTCTTTGATGTGCAAATCCCGTAGTGTTTCGCCTATATTTCCTTCTATGTATTTTATGGTTTCAGGTCTTATGTCTAGTTCTTTAATCCATTTTGAGTTGATTTTTGTGTATGGTGTGAGGTAGTGGTCAAGCTTCATTCTTTTGCATGTAGCGACCCAGTTTTCCCAGCACCATTTATTGAACAAACTTTCTTTGCTCCAATGCATAGTCTTTGCTCCTTTGTCAAAGATTAGTTGACCATAAATCTGTGGGTTTATTTCTGGATTTTCTATTCGATTCCATTGGTCTGTATGTCTGTTCTTGTTCCAATACCATGCAGTTTTGATGATTATGGCTTTGTAGTATAGTTTGAAGTCTGGGAGTGTGATGCCTCCATTTCCTTCTTTTTTTTTCAGTAGAGCTTTGGCTATTCGGGGTTTTTGGTGATTCCATATGAATTTCATCAAAAATTGTTCTATTTCTTTAAAGAATGCCATTGAGATTTTGATTGGAATAGCATTGAATCTGTATATTGCTTTTGGTAGGATGGCCATTTTAATAATGTTTATTCTTCCAATCCATGAGCAGGGGATGTCTTTCCATTTCTTTGTGTCTTCTTCTATTTCTTTTAACAGTGTTTTATAGTTTTCTTTGTATAGGTCCTTTACCTCTTTTGTTAGATTTATTCCCAAATATTTGATTTTTTTTGTTTCGATAATAAAAGGGGTGGTTTTTTTGATTTCTTCTTCTTCAGATTTATTGTTTGTGTATAGGAAGGCTACTGACTTTTGCGTGTTGATTTTGTATCCTGCCACTTTACTGAATTGATTGATGAGTTGAATTAGTTTTTCTGTGGAGATTTTGGGGTTCTCTATGTATATTATCATATCATCTGCAAATAGTGATAGTTTGACTTCTTCTTTTCCTATTTGGATTCCTTGGATGTCTTTCTCTTGTCTTATTGCTCTGGCTAGGACTTCCAGTATTATATTGAAAAGCAGTGGTGAGAGTGGACATCCTTGTCTTGTTCCAGATCTTAATGGAATTGCTTTCAGCTTTTCACCATTGAGAATGATACTGGCTGTTGGCTTGTCATAGATGGCCTTTATGATGTTGAGGTATGTTCCTTGTATCCCAAGAATTTCAAGGGCTTTTATCATGAATGGGTGTTGCACTTTGTCGAAAGCTTTCTCAGCATCTATTGATATTATCATATGGTTTTTATATTTCTTTTTGTTGATGTGTTGGATAACATTGATTGATTTTCGGATGTTAAACCATCCTTGTGCCCCTGGAATGAATCCAACTTGGTCGTGGTGAATTATCTTATGGATACATTGTTGGATTCTGCTGGCTAAAATTTTATTGAGGATTTTTGCATCAGTGTTCATTAGGGAGATTGGCCTATAGTTTTCCTTTTTTGTGTTGTCCTTATTCGGTTTTGGTATTAGTGTAATATTGGCTTCATAGAACGTGTTTGGTATTGTCCCTTCCTTCTCAATTTTTTGGAAGAGTTTGTGAAGGATAGGCACTAATTCGTCTCTGAATGTTTGGTAGAATTCATTTGTAAATCCATCAGGTCCTGGGCTTTTGTTTTTGGGGAGGTTTTTAATTACCATTTCAATTTCGCTGCTTGTAATTGGTCTGTTTAGGTGCTCTATTTCTTCTTTATCTAGCTTTGGGTGATTGTAGAGTTGTAGGAATTTGTCCATCTCCTCTAGATTGTTGAACTTGTTTCCATATAACTGTTCATAGTAGTTACTGATTATTCTTTTGATTTCTGCTGTGTCCGTTGTGATTTCTCCTCTTTCATTTATGATTCTGTGTATTTGTGCTTTCTCCCTTTTTTCCTTTGTGAGCCTGGCTAGGGGTTTGTCTATTTTATTTATTTTTTCAAAGAACCAGCTCTTGGTTTCATTGATCTTTTGGATTGTTTTTTTAGTTTCAATTTCATTTATTTCTGCTTTGGTTTTTATTATTTCTTTTCTTCTACTGGTTCTGGGGTTTTTTTGTTGTTCTTTTTCTAGATCTTTGAGCTTCGAGATTAGGTTGTTTCTTTGAGTTCTTTCTTGTTTTTTGATGTGAGCTTCTATTGCTATATATTTTCCTCTTATTACTGCTTTTGCTGCATCCCATACATTTAGGATATTGGTGTCCTCCTTGTCATTCAATTCAAAGAATTTTTTAATTTCTTCTTTGATCTCCTCGTTAGTCCAGTGGTCTTCCAGTAGTGTGGCTTTTAATCTCCATGAGGTAGGATAGTTCCTTGCCTTCTTTTTATGATTTATTTCTAGTTTGATGCCTTCATGGTCAGAAAAGATGGTTGGTATGATTTCAATCTTGGTGTATCTGTTGATGTTTGTCTTGTGCCCCAGTATGTGATCGATCCTGGAGAATGATCCGTGTGCGCTTGAGAAAAATGTGTACTCCGTTTTTTTTGGGTTTAGTGTTCTATAGATGTCTGTTAAGCCCAAATGCTCTAGGTCCTTATTTAGAGCTTTAGTTTCTTTACTTATTTTTTGTCTTGTTGATCTATCCATTGTTGATAGTGGTGTGTTGAAGTCTCCCACTACATATGTGTTTTCTCTGATGTCTGTTTTCAGAGAGGACAACAGTTGTCTGATATATTTTGGTGCTCTTTCGTTTGGTGAGTATATGTTAATGAGTGTTATTTCTTCTTGAAGTATTGTCCCCTTAATCATAATGTAGTGACCATTGGGGTCTCTTTTTATTTTTTTGAGTTTGAAGTCTGTTTTATCTGATATGAGTATAGCTGTTCCTGCTTTCTTTTTTGGCCCATTTGCTTGTAGGATTGTTTTCCATCCTTTGACTTTGAGCCTATTTTTATCTTTTGTAGCTAAATGTGTTTCCTGGAGACAGCAAAAGGTTGGGTTTTGTTTCTTAATCCAGGCTGCAACTCTGTGTCTTTTTATTGAAGAGTTTAGTCCATTTACATTTAGAGTTAATATTGATATGTTAGCATCTGTATTTGCCATTATGTTTGTCTTTCCTTTGATTTTATTTATTTATTCTTTTAATAACTTTTTTTTTTTTTTTGGTCTTCTTTCGTTGTTATTCGTCCCTCTGAGGTTCTGGCTTTAGGATTCCTTGTAGTATTTTTTGGAGTGGGGGTTTAGTCGCAATGAAATTCCGGAGTTTCTCTTTGTCTGGGAAGGTCCATATTCTTTCTTCATGGAGGAAAGAGAGCTTTGCGGGATAGAGTATTCTTGGTTGGCATCTGTTTTCTTGGAGTCTGTTGACTATGTCCCTCCACTCTCTCCTTGCCCGTAGTGTTTCTTCAGAGAAGTCTGATGTCAGCCTGATTGGTTTTCCTTTGAATGTTATCTGTTTCTTCCCTCTTGTCAGCTTCATTATTTTTTCCTTGTCCTGGATTCTTGGGAGCTTTACTATTATGTGTCTTGCTGTGTTTTTCCTTTCGTCGTGGAAGTTTGGTGTTCTTCTTGCTTCTTGTATATCAATTTTCAGCTCCTTCTTCTCATTTGGGAAGTTCTCTTCAATTATATCCATGAATATTTTCTCTGTTCCTACATCTCTCTCCTCTCCTTCTGGAATTCCTATAACTCTTATATTTCCTTTCCTCATGGAGTCAGATAGTTCCCGAAGTCTTTCTTCATTCTTTTTCCTTCGTACTTCTCTTTCCTTTTCTGTTTTGGTTCTTTTTATTTCTGTGTCTTCAAGATTACTTATTCGTTCTTCCATTTCATCTATTCTGCTTTCATTGCTTTTCCCAGAGTTCTTTAGTTCCTCCATTAATTCTTTGATCTCCTGCATTTCTCTTACTTCCCTCTTTAGGGACTCAATTTCCTTCTTCTGATCTATCACTTTTTTAATCATGGCAATTTTAAATTCTCTTTCTGGAAGGCTCAGAAGTTCTTCCAAGTTGCTGTCGTTGCAATCTGGGGAGTGGTTTTCTTTTTGTGGTGTGCTTCTTTCCTGAGGAGTTTTTAGGTTGCGTGTGGTTCTTCTACTCCCTACTGTCTGTTTTCTAATTTGTCGTATGCGTTGGGACACTGTGTTGCTCGGACTGACTGACATCTTGGGTGAACTTCTCCGCTCCCCTCTGGCTCTTCCAGGAGCCATCTCTGTCTTCTGGGGGAGCTTTCTGCTGGTTTTAGGCAGTTTTTACTGAAGAAATGTCCCTGTTCTCAAATGGCGAAGCGGGATGCAGTCCCTGCGCCTCCGGTTTCAGGCACACTCTTCTGCGCCCCCGGTCTGCCCCGGACGTGGGTGCCTGCTCCCTCTGTGGGCTCAGACTGCTGGTTGGAAGGGGCCTGGCGTGGAATAACTTCCCGGCTGGCCACTGGGTCCTCCAGAAACCTTCTGCCCTTTTCAAGCAGTCTTAAGAAATGTCCTGTTTTATAGGGTGTTAGTGACTTTTTTTTTTCCTGGTCGCTAGGTGGCGCCAGAGATCTCTCCTATTGTCCTTGGGGGGCTGTTTTTCGCCTCCCCCCACCCCGTGGGACAGAGAACAGAGCGGGAATGGTAGGGCACACCTCAACAGCTTTGGGGTGCTGTGTCTGCCCTGTGCCCCACCGTCGCGGAGAACCCACGCCCCGAATTTTCGCGCCCCGGGTCTCAGTTCAAAGCCCTCAGTTCCAGGACGCGGGCTGTAGCCCAGTTCAGTGGCGCGGGAATGGCGCCTTTTGCACAGCTCCCGTGCCTGGGCGCCTGGTTCCTGCTCACTCAGGGAGGGACCTTCACCTCAGTGAGGACCTCCGCGCGTCTCCCAGCAAGCCTAGGTCGTCTCCCCGCAAGCCTAGGTTGCAGGCGCGGGGACCCGGGCAGCCGCGATCCAGGTCTGCACCTGCTTTTCAAGCTCCCCGAGCGCGCCGCGTTTCCGCGCCAGCTTACCGGCAGCCCGGGCTGTGTGCGCGTCTCCCGGGGTCTTTGTTCTTCTCTAATGGCGCCAGGAGCCGTTCGCTCACCGCCGCGGCGGATCCTGCAGGGTTCGCCTCAGCTCCCGTTCACGGGGTGTGGTGGCTGCAATAGTTCCTTTCCACTCACAGTCCCGCTTGCTGCCTCGTTTGTTCTTGTTGGCCGTTTTGGTTTGTTGTTTCCTCCTCTCTGCTGGTCGGAGAGTGCCGCCTCTGTGGGCGGGGGAGGGGAGCAGGGTTCTGCGCTTCCCTCCCTTCTAGTCCTCTTTTATGGCCAGTTTCTTCTTCGGGCAGTTCGCTGGCGTCACCCGTTTATCTTCCGTGTCCCACTTCTCACTGGGACCTGCCGCTTTTCCTCCCTATTAACTTTTTTTAATGGGAGATCTTACTCGCAGCGTCTCCTCGCCGCCATGTTGCTCCTAAATTATAGTCTTAAGGCCAAACCAGACTTGCAGGAAAGGGGACATACACCCCGTTTCTTTCTCTTATTTTTTTTAAATTTTTTAATTATTTATTTATTTATTTATACAAGCACTGGGTATAGTCAGAAGCGCGGGTGGGTGAGAGAATTCACCAGAGCCAGAGCGGGGAGCAGAGCAGGCAGAAGGACCAAAGTACACTGCTGAGGGGAGCAGCGGGCGGCAGAAGAGGTCTGCCCGCCATGTGGGACCCTCCTGGTGGCCGGGGAGCAGCCGGGGATCGAACCGGCACTGCAGAGGCTGCAGGCAGCTTCACAGCCCAGCGCTCAACCGCTGCGCCACCAGGGGAGGCCCTCTCTTATTTTTTTTAATTGCGGTAAGATTGGTTTACAACATTATATGAAATTTGGGGGGACAGCTTCACACGTCAGATGCATGTCACACACCCACCATAACCAGGGAGCCCTCCCCCTCTGCTGCCCTGCCCACTGGTAGCCTCAGCCCTGCGGTCATGTTTCTCAGCTTTGTTTTGGGAAACTTCATTTTTTAATGGGAATCACTGTGACGTCACCGTGTGGAGGGTGGAAGGGCTGTGCCGCCTGTCTCCATCCACCACACCACCATAACCTGGCCCCTTCTGCACACAGATGAACACCTCCCTGCTGACCCCAGACTGTGGAGAGCTCTGTTCCTGCTCCTCAAGCTCTGTCCTGATGTGCCAGCCAGCTGGCTGCCAGTCAGGCCTCATATGTGCCATCCAGGATGGGTCCCAAGGCTGCTGGGCCCCCCAGGGTCTCTGTTCCCTCTCTGCGGGTGGCAATCTCACCACCTTCGACGGGGCCCAAAACGTGATCAGCTCCCCCAACGTCTATGAGCTCTCTGTCCGCTGCCCAGGATTCCAGGGGGCCATCCCCTGGTACCGCGTCCTTGTTGACATCCCCATCTGCAGCGGCAAAGTTGGCGCAGCACGCCAGGTCCACGTCTTCTTCCAAGATGGGCTGGTGACTGTGAATCCGAACAAGGGCGTGTGGGTAAGCCTGGGCACTCGGGGCCATCTCCTGGGCCCGCTGCTGCTTGTGGGATCCCTACACTGCTTCTGGCTGGCTGTGTCCTTTCTCCAGATCGCTGCTGTTGGGTCATCTCTGGATGTAAATTTGTCTCAGTAGTTCAGATTGGGTCCCTCATTCTGGCTGAGTCCACGATTTATGATCGAGAAACAGTAATTTTATCATGTGGTTATTGCACTTGCTAGGGCACTACTTGTATTCGGGCATCATCATTGTAAAAACAAGGGAGAAGGTTGCTTTCATTTAGGAACAGTTAATTATAGGACATGCTCAGGGTTCTTTTATTTTGAAAACAACCAGACAGGATGATGCTGGGGTTTCACTGCTTGTTTGCTTATCTACCTGGCACAGAGTGCACCCCCAGCCTGGCCTCAGGTGATGTGTGCGTGCCTGTCTGTCCAGTCAGTCTGACCCCTGTATCCATCCATCCAGAGCTCCACTCTACTATTTTACGTATTCACCTCTCCATAGTGTGCAGCCATCCAGGTCTTCATCTTTTTCAGCACCTGCCTCTGTGCTTTTGCTTCTTGAACTTATTATCTTGCTTGAGGGCTCCATTCTCCAGCCATCTGTGGCTCTGACCTCACCTCTGTATTCCTCCCCCACCACCAGGTGAATGGTCTCCGAGTGGATCTCCCAGCTAAGATGTTAGCATCTGTGTCCGTGAGTCGGAATCCTGATGGCTCTGTGCTGGTCAAGCAGAAGGCAGGGGTCCAGGTGCAGCTTTGGCCCAATGGGCAGCTGACTGTGATGGTCAGCAGTGACCATGCCAGGATGCTGTGTGGGGCCTGTGGAAACTTCGATGGAGTCGAGGTCAATGATGGGCACACCTCCCAAGGGAAGACATCGATGGAGAGGTGGAGAGCAAAGGATTTCTCCCCATGGTAAGGGGTGTAGCTCAGAAGCTAGGCCTCTTAGGACAGGGTAACCCGAGTCCTCATGGGAGGGCGTAGTTGGGGTGGATGCTAAGCGGATGAGAGAGGCTAGGTGCTAAGTGTCTATCTCTCGCAGTTCTGCCTGATCAGCCATCGCCTGGGGATGAGGACTTCAGGACCTGATTGCCTGAGACATTGCAATGATTGAAGGAGGTGCTGTGTCATTATGGTCCTCTTCCATGTTCTGCCCCTCTGCTGAGTCACTATGATTGACTGTGAGGGCAATAAATAAATATCTTAAGCTGAGCTGATGTGTCTCTTGCCTACTCATCCCTGACCTTCCTCCCTCTGTGCCTGGGGAATCTGACACATGATGAACATTTGTTGGGGATGACAGGGTGGATGGATGGATGGATGGATGGATGGATGGATGGATGGATGGATGGATGAATGGATGGATTCTAAGAGGGTGGGTGGGGAAATGGAAGGAAGGGAAATGGATGGCTAGAAGAATGGGTGGATGAGAAGATAAATGATTGGATGAAGAAAGGAATGAAAAATGGAAAGAGATCAATAGATTATGGCTTATTTTTATGGTCCTAGCAAGTTAATTTCTCTGTCACCGGTTTCATATGTCTTAGGCCGTTTGGGCAGCTATAACAAAATGCCACGGGCTAGGTGGCGTATGAACAACAGAAATTTATTTCTCAAGTTCTAGAGGCTTGAAAGTCCAAGGCACCAGCAGAATTGGTATCTTGCAAGAACCTGCTTCCTAGTTCCCTCTTCTCACTGTGTCCTCACATGGTCGAAGTTTGAGGCAGTTCTCTCGAGCCACCACTAAGGGTTCCACCCTCGACCTAGTCACCTCCCAAAGACCCCACGTCCAAATGACATCACATATAACATGTGTCCTATGTAAAGTGGACTTCTTTCTGTTACCCTCTGTCCCAAATCCTTCCTTCCTAGCATTTTTTACGCTTACAATTTATTTGCCTTTAGTACCAATTAGAAGTAACTAAGAAAGGGCCTCCCCGGTGGTGCAGCGGTTGAGTGCTGGGTTGCAAAGCTGCCCGCAGCCTCTGCAGCGCTGGTTCAATCCCCGGCTGCTCCCCGGCCACTGGAGGAGGGTCGCACGTGGCGCGCAGACCTCTCCTGCCGCCCACTGCTCCCCTCAGCAGTGTACCTCGGTCCTTCTGCCTGCTCTGCTCCCCGCTCTGGCTCTGGTGAATTCTCTCACCCTCCGGCGCTTCTGACTTTACCTAGTGCTTGTATAAATAATAAATAAATAAATCTTTAAAAAAAAAAAAGAAAAAGAAAAAGAAGAGAGAGAACCAGACAATAAAGAAGAAGAAGCAACAATCCAATAGAAAAAGAAAAGATCTTAAGGGCTCATAGAGAAAGAAAAATGGTCCTTAATGATAAGGAATATTCACTTCTGCCCATACTAAGGAAAATGCAAATTAAACTATCAGAGAGACAGAAACACAACAACACAATTTGTTGCCAAAGTTTTAAAGATAGAACTCTTGTTACCACTAGGAACGCAAGATGTATAAATACAGTGCAGAGGGCCTCCCCAGTGGCGCAGCGGTTGAGCGCTGGGTTGCGAAGCTGCCTGCAGCCTCTGCAGCGCCGGTTCGATCCCCGGCTGCTCCCCGGCCACCGGAGGAGGGTCCCACATGGCGCGCAGACCTCTCCTGCAGCCCGCTGCTCCCCTCAGCAGTGTACTTCGGTCCTTCTGCCTGCTCTGCTCCCCGCTCTGGCTCTGGTGAATTCTCTCACCCTCCCGCGGTTCTGACTGTACCCAGTGCTTGTATAAATAAATAAACAAATAAAAAAAAAAATAAATCTTTAAAAAAAAAAAAAAAAAAAATACAGTGCAGGGATGTTTGGTAGTCTGGCAAAATGCATTTTTTTCCCTTGACCCAGCAGTCTTACTGCTCAGAATCGAACTAGAGATGAAATGGCAAGAAAAGGATGGAAACCCAAGGTTGGCCCCTGCAGTGCTCTTTATATATTGGAAAAAACTGGAAAAATTCAGATGTTTAATTAGTAGACTGTAGAATAAATCTGATGGATAACTATGTAGATGAATGAAAAATAAGAACGAGGGGCGCAGGCGGTTGAGCGCCACATTGTGAAGCTGTCCACAGCCTCTGCAGCACGGGTTCGATCCCAGCAGGCCGGCGAGAATCCCACATGGCACGGCAGACCTCTCCTGTCTCGCCCGCTGCTCCCCTCAGCAGTGTATTTGGTCAGTCTCCCTGTTCTGTTCTCTACTCTGTCTGTGATGAATCCTCTTACCCTCCTGTGAATCTGGCCTGTACCTCGGTTCTTGTATAAAGAAATAAATCTTTAAAAAAAAAAAAGATCTCTAGACATTAATTTGTAACTATCTCCAGGATGTATTTTGAAGTGAAAAAACAAGGTTAGAACAAGAACAGACACACAGACCAATGGAATCTAATAGAAAATCCAGAAATAAACCCACAGATTTATGGTCAACCAATCTTTGACAAAGGAGCAAAAACTATGCATTGGAGCAAAGAAAGTTTGTTCAATAAATGGTGCTGGGAAAACTGGGTCGCTACATGCAAAAGAATGAAGCTTGACCACTACCTCACACCATACACAAAAATCAACTCAAAATGGATTAAAGAACTAGACATAAGACCTGAAACCATAAAATACATAGAAGGAAATATAGGCGAAACACTACGGGATTTGCACATCAAAGACATCTTTACAGACACATCACCCAAAGCAGTGATAGTGAAGGCAAAGATAAACAGCTGGGACTACATCAAATTAAAGAGCTTCTGCACAGCAAAAGAGACAATAACAAAAACAAAGAGAAACCCCACCAACTGGGAGAACATTTTTGCACACAACACTAATGATAAAGGACTGATCACAAAAATCTGCAAAGAGCTGATGAGACTCAACAACAACAAAGAAAATAATCCTGTCAAAAAATGGGCAGAAGAGCTAAAAAGAAACTTCTCTGAAGAGGAAATGCAAATGGCCAACAGGCATATGAAAAAATGTTCAACATCACTTGTCATCAGGGAAATGCAAATCAAAACTACCATGAGATACCATCTTCCACCAGTGAGAATGGCACATATTAAAAAACTAGCAACAACAAATGTTGGCGAGGGTGTGGAGAAAAAGGAACTCTCCTGCACTGTTGGTGGGAGTGCAAACTGGTCCAACCACTATGGAGAGCTGTGTGGAGATTTCTGGACCTACTAAACATAGAGCTTCCATAGGATCCAGCAATTCCACTCCTAGGTATTTACCCAAAGGACACAGAAACATCAATTCCAAAGAGCACCTGCTCCCCTATGTTTATAGCAGCACTGTTTACAATGGCTAAGCTTTGGAAACAACCCAAATGCCCAAAAATCGATGACTGGATCAAGAAGATGTGGTACATATATACCATGAAATATTACTCAGCAATCGAAAAAGATAAACACATGCCATTTGCAGCAACATGGATGGCGCTGGAAGGGATCATGCTCAGCAAAATCAGCCAGAAAGAAAAAGAAAACTACCGGATGGTCTCACTCATAGCAGGAATCTAGAAAACTTAAATAAGAGACCAGGAAAAAGAATAACTATAAGAAAGTAAAAATCAAAATCAACAAAAAACTATGAACCAGAGACACTCTATGGGGGGTGGGGGACGGGGAGGGGAGGAATTAGGGTCAAAAAAGGGGGTTGCAATTGTATGGGGAATATAAAAATAAAATTTATTTAAAAAAAAAAAAACAAGGTTAGAACAGTATACATAATAAAAGACACCTAAAAGGTGGGGCACAATGGGGCTTGGGGGTGCTGATAATATTCTATTTGTTGACCTGGGTGGTGGTTACATGGGTTAATCTGTTATAGAACAGGGAGAGGAACACCCCAGAACCCCCAAACCTGCCTGCTCTCAATATATTCTGCCTTCCTTTGCATCAAGACAAAACAACAGAACTTTAATGGAAAGGAATTTTAATACAATTCATGTGCAATACAGAAAAGACAAAATAGTTTCCAAATATAGTACCCAAAGTTACCCATCCCCTCGTGAGTAAATGTCCAGCCAAACAGGGTTGGCCCAAAGCAAGGCACAAAAACCTCCACAAGTCAAAAGCATCTTCCAGAGGAGACCCATAGAAAAGGGTCAAAACCAACATAAAAGCTGCCATTGTTGGGCCTCCCCAGTGGCTCAGTGGATTGAGCGCAGCGCTGTGAAGCTGTCTGCAGCCTCTGCAGCAAAGGTTCAATTCCCAGCCGGCCAAGGAGATACCCATGTGGCACAGCAGACCCCTCCTGTCTCGCCCGCTGCTCCCCTCAGCAGCGCCTTCGGTCCGTCTGCCTGTTCTCCTCACTGTTCTGTCTCTGGTGATTCCTCTCACCCTTCACGCCTCTGGACTGTGCCCCAGCTCTCGTATAAATAAAGTAAATCTTTTTTTTTTAATTTTATATAATTCTTACATCATTTTTGCACAGTGTATACATTTTCATTTTATTATATTCCCATACAATTCCCACCCCCCTTATTCTGACCCTAATCCTTCTTCTCCTGAATAAAATAAATCTAAAAAAAATAAAAATAAAAAAGCTGCCATTGTTAACTGCCCCATGGGTCTCTAACCCACATCTATTTCAACCAGTTCAGGACCAACAAGCGAGCGCAGCTTCTTCACGTGTCTTTCTGTTCCAAGTCCCTCCTCCTGGTCTCCTTCTTGCTCTCCATCCTGCTTCCTTCCTTCTCCAGTCTCCTCTCCAGCTTCTTCTCCCCCCTGCTCACCTCCACCCTCCCATGGGTGGGGCAGGGAACCTGGAACCTCCCCTTTTCCTGGGCACCACCCTGTTACAGTTCCATTAGTGATAACTCACAAAGCTAGCCAATAACATGTCTGTAAACATGTTATATGTTAAAAACAACAAAATTTAAAATAATTTTAATCTCTGAATAGTGAAGACAGTACAGAAACGTTCTTTCAAGGAGTTTTGAGAAAAGACAATCAAAGATGGAATGATTGGGGCCTCCCTGGTGGAGCAGGGGTTAAAGTCTCAGCACTATCAGGCAATGACCAGCCACTGCAGCCTCCCCGGCCAGGGAGCTGACCCACATGACACTGCAGACCTCTCCTCTCTTGCCCACTGCTCCCCTCAGCAGTGGATTTCAGTAGATGCCCATTCTGCTTCCCACTCTATCTCTGGCGAATCCAAAATGTTCTTTTCCTATATTTTTTAATGTAAACTTATCAAATGTCCAGAAAAGTTTGAAGAAGCACACA